AGATTGCTCTATCCAGCAAAACTTTCATTTAGAATGGAAGAACAGATAAAGTGCTTCTCAGATAAGACCAAATTCAAGGAGTTCATCATCACCAAGCCCTTACTATATGAAATGTTAAAGGGACTTACCTAAGAAAAAGAAGATAAAAAAGATGGAACAGTGAGAGGACAGCAAACTCACCGTTATTAACAACCACGCCTAAAACAAAAGCAAACTAAGAGGACAGCTAGATCAGGAGCAGAACCATAGAAATGCAGATCACATGGAGGGTTAGCAACAGGGGAGTGGGAGGAGCAGAAGGGGAGAGAAGGTACAGAAAATAAGTAGCATAGACGGTAGGTAGAAAATAGACAGGGGGAGGGCAAGAATAGTAGGGGAAATACAGAATCTAAAGAACTTGAGACACGTGGTCATAAACTAAAGGGGGGGAATGGTGGGGGAGGGGGTGTGCAGGATGATGGAGGGGAATGAAGGGGGGAAATAGAACAACTGTAATGGCATAATTAATAAATGTATTTATAAAAAATAAAAAATATATATGTTGGAATAAAAAAAAAGAAAAGAAAAGGAGACAGTTACTACAAAGGATTTCCCATAAGACAGTAAGCTGATCTCTCAAAAGAAACCTTAACAGGCAAGAACGGGCTGGAAAGAAGTATTCAAAGCCATGAAAGGCAAGGACCTACATCCAAGATGACTCTATCCAGCAAAGCTATCATTCAGAATGGAAGGACAGATACAGTGCTTCACAGATAAGGTCAAGTTCAAGGAGTTCATCGTCATCACCAAGCCCTTATTATATGAAATGTTCAAGGGACTTACGTAAGAAAAAGAAGATCAAAACTATGAACAGTAAAATGACAACAAATTCACAACTATCAATAACTGAACCTAAAACAAAAAACAAAAACAAAGAAAGCAAACAACTAGAACAGGAAGAGAAATCACAGAAATGGAGATCACATGGCGGGGTTATCAGCAAGGAGGGGGAGAAAAAGGTACAGGGACTAAAAAGCATAAATGGTAGGTATAAAATGGACAGGGGGAGGGTAAGAACAATAGAGGAAATAGAGAAGCCAAAGAACTTACATGTACGACCCATGGACATGAACTAAGTTGGGAGGGAATGCCAGTGGCAAGGGGCGTGCAGGGTGGAGGGGAATAAAGGGGAGGAAAAATGGAACAACTATAATAACACAATCAAAAACTATACTTAAAAAAAGTCAGGTAAGATGAAGAGAGTTCTGGAGAATGGTTGTACACTGACGTACATGTACTTCAGTCACTTAACACTAATGAACCACACATTTAAAATGATTAACAAGGTAAATTTTATGCTGTGTATTTTGTCACAATTTTTTAAAGAAGTAAATCAGAGCAATAGCAATGAATAAGACAAAATAATATTAAGAAAACAACGGTAACAACAAAAAGAACACAACAGGAATAAATTGAACAAAGGAGTACAAGGCTTCCACACTGAACAGAGGCAACATGCGTACACAAAGACGACAGATGTGCACACACAGAGGGAAGGCCACGTGAGGACTCGAAAGAAGGCGGCCATCTGCGTGCCAGGGAGGGAGGCCTCAGGAGAAGCCAAAACTGCTGACACCTTGATCTTGGAATTCTAGCCTCCAAAACTGTTTGAAAATAAGTTTCTGTTGTTCAACCCTCAGTCCATGGTATTTTGTAATGGTAGCCCTGGCAAACTAACACAATACTCAAGAGGTATAAAAACATATGTTCACACAAAAAATTATACAACTGTTTATAGCAAACATTATTCATAATAGTCAAAAAAGAGGAAAGCAACCCAAATGTTCATCAACTGATGAACAGATAATCATAATTCAGTATATCCACACGACAGAACGTTATTCAGCCACAAAGAGGAATGAAGTACTGACGTCTGCTACAACACAGATGAACCCTGAAAGTGCTGTGCTAAGTGAGAGAGGCCACATGTTACATGGTTCCATTTCCATGACATACCCCGAAGGCACTGAAAGTAGATCACTGCTGGCCAAGGCTGGGGGGCGGGGCAGTAGAAGCAGAGAGACTGCTTTTTGGGAGAGTGTTTCTTTCAAAGGTGATGGAAATGTTCCAGAACTGGACAGTGCTGATGGCTGTACAACCTTGTGAATAATACTAAAAATGTATGTAAAATACATCTCAAAAATGTGCCTAAAAGACAGCAAGTGGGAAAGAGGTCTAGAAGTTATGATTCTACTTTTTGAAAATCTTGAATGCATTAAAAACAGTAGAAAAAAGCAGAATCCAGAATACTCGGGGAGACAGTACTAAAGATCATGTTTCCCAAAAAAGGAAAAAAGTAAACCAGGAATCCTGCGAAACTGAACAAGTTCTTTGAGATGAAACACTGTGATTTTTTTCTACTTCTTCTGTGTATAAACCAGTCCACCACAACTAGCATGGAGAAAGCTTGTCTTTAATGAAATCACAATCATTATGTAATTTACAGTGTAACTTCAAAAAAGACAACAACTGTACCATTTTCACTTAAGTCCTAAAGATAGGAATGTCAGTGCTGCAGAGCTGATATATATATTGTCTTAAATCATTCACTTGTGGACACATGCTTTCTTTCGTTTGTTCTCCAGCATCTGTGTCTCCCTTATTTCCTATGGAAAAGCCACTTCACGTGGTGGGTCAGGGGCTGGCCAGAGCGCCCTGTCTGCCAGGCCGGAGTGATGGTGCCGGAACGGGCACGTGACCCCAGCCGAGCCGAGCAGCGGACTGCCTGGAACCTGGCTGCTGGAGCCCTTGGGAAAGACAGCCACTGTGTACCGGGCAGTGAGGCTGAGACTCAAGTCCCTGGCGCCGTGGAGGAAGCTGTCTGCAGCATAAGGCCAGTACACAGAGAAAGGCAGATGAGAGGCAGCAGGGGGAAGAGGCCCGACAACACTGTGTAAGGCCCAGGATCGGGACTGGACTAAAGTCTGCGGGAGCCTAGGCTCCAGTAATGAGTTTTCAGGACTCTAATGAAAGAAAGATTCCTGACTAATACATGCCTCACTCCACATATGTGGATAATGTGGAAACCAGCAATTAACACGTTAAAAACCCCTGTGGAACGAGGTAAGGGGACAGACACGAAAAGGAAAGACAGATGGATGACGAGAGAAATGGATTACATAAGAAGGGCTTTTATACAACTTTGAAGGCAAAGTTATTTCCGGAGGATGACTTAATTTTTGGAGCCAGACCCACTGGGTGACTTATAAACTGTGACTTTGGTCAAGTTATTTAACCTCTTTGTACCCCTGTTTCCCATCTGGAAAGTGAAAATGATGAAAGCATCTATCGTACAGGACTGCTGTGAAGATCAAATGAGTGAGGACACATGACAAGCACTCAATAAATACCAGTTCTTGTTAAATAACTGGTTAATAACTTATTGTCAGTAAGAATCCAAAAGTTAAACTTCTGCCTCCAAAGTAAACATTTAGAATAATTTAACAGTAATACTACCAGAGGAAAAAACATGGTAGTTAAAAAAAGAAATTAATATATCTATACAAGGGAATATTATACAGCTACAAAAGAAATGAAGTACTGTTACATCATGGCTTGGAGACATGCTAAGTGAAAGAAGCCAGATGCAAAGGGTCACACATCGTATGATTCTGTGTATATAAAACATGCCAAATAGACGAATCCATGGGGACAGAAAGCAGATTAGTGGCTGTCGGGAGAGGTGCATAAGGAGCTTCTTTTTGGTGTTCTGGAGTTAAATAATGATGACAGTTACAGAACGTAGTGAATACAGCTATGGAAATGTAAACTTTAAAATAGTAAATCTTATTATGTACATTATATCTCAATCTAAACAAATAAAACTCAGTTTATCTAGAACTCTTTATTGTCCCTCATGGAATTCCCTTCTGCCAAGGATCACCCACCACCAAGCAGATACCCATAAATGCTAGTTTATGGATATCTATTAATACTATCCATTAATCATTCTGATTAACAGGAAATGAATGGTTCAGAAAGTGCAGTTACTTCTGAGAAATGCAGCTGCTAGTTTTAGATGACCTACAGATGACTTGCAAATCTAAATAAAAATAAATTATAAAAGCTATACTTTTTGTGACTTTTTACTTTTAAAACTCTGCCTTTTTTAGTGAGAAAATTATGTAATTTCATAGATTCTCTCCAACAAATACTGGAATATTAGCCAAATAGACTCTAGCAGATTAAATAAGAAAAAAAAACACAAAGCCTGAGTCCTTCAATATATTTAAAAACAAGTGAAAGATACTAAAATCATGGTGTCCTACAGACTCATTATGAACTCCTGGAATTCAAATAATTACAGAAACTAGGAAGAGTACTTCAAATGCACAGAATTACAGAGACTGTGGATTAACATATTTGCCATCTCATGTTATAAACCAAAAGTCTGTATCTTGTAAATTACCACCAGAGATTCAAGGCGTGGTCCTCTTTCTGTCTCAAATCCATTTGTCCCACCATGATCAGAAGCCACGGAATTCTGAAGCTCTCTGCCCACCATCCTCGACCTCGGGACCTGTCTATTCCCTAGTCGACTCTCCCTTCCCCGGGGCTCTGTCCAGTGAGACAAAGGCACACACATCATCTGGTAAAAATACGACAGCAAATGTCTTATACACTTAAAACACCGTAATGAAGCACATTCCTGGAGGAAGCTCAGAATTATCTTTGAAAACAAGTACATGAGAAGAAATTTTACTCAACAGGGATTTTCTCTCAATTATAAGCACACTCGTAGAGAACACGCAGGAAGCACACTAGGAAAGAGGAATTTGCTGCCTCTGGCTGAAACATGGAAGACAACACATGGAGTTACAGGACTAGAAAGCAGCTTATAAGCAACTACTGCTTCTCGGTGTCAGCTAGGACTGTAACGGGCAATAAACAAATTAAAAAAGGAAAACATTAAAAAGAAACAGGAGATAAACAGAAATAAATATTATAATTTGTAAACCTACCGATAATCAATATCCAATAAAAGGCTTTTAATGTTAGACTTGTCACCTGATGCTTTCAACCTGATCAGCTCGTGCAACCTAAGGCAATTAGTGAAAGCAAATTTAATAAGAGATTACAAATGTCATACATAATAAGCAAATTAAAAAATCAATGTTTTCCTGATATTTCTAATATTTCAATGAAACACTGAAGAGATATAACCAAAGTTTCAGTTTTGCAAATATTTTTTAAAAGGTAGAACTTATCTGAAACACAGATATCTAAACTTTTAAACAATTTAAGAATCAAATCAGAAAGCATCTCCTGCCCTGGTTGGTGAGGCCCAGTGGATTGACCGTTGGCCTATGAACCAAAGGGTCACTGGCTCAATTCCCAGTCAGGGCACGTGCCTGGGCTACGGGCCAGGTGCCCAGTGGGGGGCATGAGAGAGGCAAACACACGCTGATGTTTCTCTCCCTGTCTTTCTCCCTCACTCTAAAAATAAGTAAATAAATAATCTTAAAAAAAAAAAAGAATCTCCTATTGTATATCAAATCTTTCAAGATTTCTCTCAAATGGAGTACAGATTGCAAACTCCTTAAGGGGGAGCTTTATTACTTCTTTGTATCCTCAAAGCTTTATGCTATATATCCTGAAGCTTGATAATTTTTTCTTGCAGTTTAAACAGTGGTGCCAGCAAGTTTTTAAAAAGCCGTGCCACATACCGCGGTGTGCCCACACACAGCACTCTCCTGAACCCGAGGGCAGAAAGCAGGTCGACCAAGAACTGACAGCTCCTATCAGCAAACAGGTACTGGGCATTTGTCTTCTTATTTTCCAGCGGAGAAAGGAGCCGACTGGGCCTTTTCAACTGGGTGATAGAGATGTCCCCCACGACCTGGTGCTCCTGGTGCTCCTCCCAGTCACCCGGCAACAGCAACTGCTGACACCTCCGGCAGAACCTCCTCTGAGACAACGGCAGCTTGATGAACTTCAAGTACCTTCAAGACACAAGGAAACACAAGGAATATGTTTTCCGTTTGTTGTCTTGAAGATCATTTATTTTGGCTATCTTCTGTATGCAAAAAGTATTATTAGTTCTTAAACAGTACTGCATAAAGTAGCAAAGGTAAGAAAAATCTGCTGGCTAGAATTTGCGCCTGGCTGCATGCCTACAAAGTGGAAGAGAATCAGCAATTTCATAAGAATCGAGACGCTCCAATTCCGTCAGTGAATGAAGATCAATAGCCATTTAAAATGTGAACATAATGTATTACTCAAACAACTTAGTAGTAATGGAGACTACTATCATGTTTAAATTTATTGACAAATATATTGACAAATCTAATTTTGAAGTGTTCACCAGTCTGGCTCAGTATGGTAGTCATTTTAAAATAAGAAATTAAGATCATTCTTCAAGTTCTTATGGCATACTTAGCAAGAAAAAGTACCTCCAAATAAAAAAAAAGAAAAATGATTCCCTAAAAAAAAATGTCCCCACAAAGCTCCTTTATTCTTAGCAATACTGATGAAGGCAGTTCTGAGAAGCTCATCTCCAAAACAGCAAGCTGATATTCAAAGCCTGAAATAGTATATATTGGAATCCCATTTGATTTCTTTCAAGTCATCCTTATATCTGATTTCAAACTCACCACCTCTTTGTTCTTTTTATTTGGAATGAGTAGAGAGAGAAAATAAGCAGAGTTAGTATGTTTTAAAAACTGCTGACTTTGTATATGCTATACCACCTATGAAATCAGAGTAAGAAAACAAAAGAAAAAGTAAGATTATTGAGACTCACAGAGGGTCAGCAACGCCCAAATCTAAGTAGCACTGAGCTAAACTCTGGATGCCCTGGAAAAACTGAACTTAATGTAGAATCAAACTGGGTTTCACTTGAAGCAGTTTCACTTCAAGCACCCACGCAGTGACACACAGATATTCCAGGTGACTGCGGCAAGAACCAGCTAATCGTGCCCGTGATTTAAATGTTTCTATTTCTATGGTAACTGTTCTTTTGGCAGCTCATCTATGACTGGAAAGAAAAAGGACGGTGACATCAGGAGAAACTGTTATAGTAACTCGAAGAATGTCAGTAGAGAAAAGGGCCCTGAGGACAGGAAAGGCAGGTGGGAAGAGCCAGCCGCTGCAGCCACAGGGACGTCCCTGTCATCACTGGACGTCAAGTGTCACAGCCGCTCGCATCCAGCCATGACAGATTGAGAGACCAGACTCGCCACCCCGACCCTCGCAAACTTTCAACAGACAAAACACGGAGACCACAGTTTGGAGATACTGGACAGCAGGCAGCCCGACAGTGAACAGTGAGAGAACAAGCGAGCGAGTGCTTCAGCTGCCCCGCCGGGAGTAGTCCCCCACTATCCATGGGGGACACATCCCAAGACCCCCCCAGAGGTGCCTGAAACTGCGGAAGGTATCGAATCCGGTATATACCTTACGTGTCTCCCTACATGTACGTACTTATGATAAAGTTTAATCTCCAAGTTAGGCACAATAAGAGATTAACAACAATAACTGATAATAAAATAGAAAACTTATACTAATATACTATAATAAAAGTTATATAAATATGGCTTCTCTTTCTTGCCAGTAATTTTTATATTTTCTGTCCAAATCTATTCCCGAACATAGGTTTACTGAACTGGCTAGAACCCCCAGCCAACGCTGAACAGAAATGGTAGCGGTGGACAAGCCTGCTATGTCCCAGTCTTAGGAGGAAAACATCCAATCTTACCAGCATGGTGTTAGCTATAGGTCTTTCTTAGATGCTCTTTATCAGGTTGTGGAAGTTCCCATCAGTTCCTAGTTTTCTGAGAATCTTTATCATGAATAAACATCTTATTTTGGACTTGGAAGAACTCAAGTTGTACAGTTACATAACCTGGGTCATTCATTACTGAAGAATGTGCTGGACAGTTGGGCGCCAGGCAGAAAGGGCAACGTACAGACCAGAGGAGCATCTTCAGAAAGCCTAGGACAGATCAAGATAAAACCACCAGACTCCGCTACATCTGAATGTTCTAAAAGGCTTCAGACAACGAGCAGAGACCTGCAGTCGAATCGGTGAGAAGCACATAAATAACGAATAGCAGCTGCAACAAGAAATCCAAAACTGTTATTAACTGCAAGGAAAACAAAAAGTTGTGTAGGAAAGAACTTACTGTGATTTATTTCAGGGTTCAGCTACGAACAACACTTTTATGGTTGTAATAATGCAAACACTAAATTCTGAATCTAGCCAAAATCATGATAGAACTATGCAAGAATAAGGTATGAAAGTGTATGGATTATAGCCGGGGTAGGGGAGCTGGAGGTGAGAGGGCAGACAGAGAAGGGAAAGATAAATCCTCGTCTTCCATATGAAATGAGCAGCAATTCCAACAACCGATCAATCAAGAAGTACAAGACAAGCACGGCGTGTGCTGCACAGACAGGACAGAGAACTCTGCACTTGGACAGAGAGCTGACTGTGGCTGCTTCCGGGGAGGAGAGACGCACGGATGGAGACAGGCACGTTGCTCTTTACAAAACCTCACAGAACTACTTGATTCTATTCCCAAAGACAGACTTCATCACTGGAATTTAATGCACATACCAAACAATCACCCCTTTAAAGTGCACAATCCAGTGGTTGTCAGAACTTTCCCGAACATGTGCGACCACCAGCACAGCAGAATCCCAGAGCATTTCTGTCACGTTGGAGAGAAACCTGGTCTCCATCAGAAGTCACTCCGTGGGCCCCTTCCCCACAGTGGCCAAGCCACTCCCCTCTCTCTGCAGATGTGCCCATGCCGGACACCTCACGCAAATGGATCATAGAAGAGCCACATACAAGTTTTGATTTTAAAGTTTTTTTGTTAAAACAGGCTTTTATTTAGAAAATAAAAACTGCCAGAGGATGACTTTTTGGCTAAATAGGAGGTAACAGAAGACACTGCAGCCACGGGGCTGTCAGGAAGCACTGAGCCCCTTGGCCCACAGGATGAGAGCAGAAACACACAAGGCATCCCACTTACAGCGGAGCACGTCGGCAACAGAATTCAAACAAAAGTGGTGCGGGAAGGGCACGAGAAAGGGGCAGGGAGTGTAAGTATACCGAGCGCTGCACGTTTCAGAGCTAGAGGCCGAAAGATACGGTTTAAAACTGAATAATCAAGTTAAAGAGCTACAAGCAATATTTGAAGGCATAAAGCTTAACCCTAAAAAGAAATAATCAACTAAAATCAGGCAGTGGTTGACAGACAGGAAGAAGAATTACACTAGATTCATCATTTCTCACTTTTAGAGGAAGATTATCTTAAAAAAGGGTTAAACATAGCATAGCAAGTTACAAAGGAACCGTGACAACAAAAACACAGCACACATTGAACAAGGAAGGGAAACATGGGCCCTATGTAGTGAGAGCTAAAACAAGCAGTAAAAACAGAAAACGTAAAATAATACAGCAACACTAAGGCCAAGCACACCTACTACATCCACTATGAAAATGGACGAAATCCGCCCATGAAAAGAAAGCCCGTCAGGCCCCGCCCAGGGGCTGGGCTGGGCTGGTCGGAGCGTCGGCCCACGTCCGGAAAGGTTTCGAGGCTGGTCCCAGGTCAAAGGCACATTCCTGGGTTGTGGGTTCAATCCCTGGTGAGGGTGCCTACAGGAGGACAACTGATCAATATTTCTCTGTCACATTAAAGTTTCTCTGTCTTCCCCCTCTTCTCTCTCAAAAAAAATCAATAAACATATCCTCAGGTGAAGACTGAAAAAAAGGAAAAAAAAAGCCTGTCCAATTATTACAATGCAACACCCAACCATCCCATTTCATTACTTCGCAGAAACCTATCTTTTCACGTTTTAGCGTGTATGACATTGACATATGCTTTATAACTGCTGTCAGCCAGACAGAGGTCATGATGTCGCAGGGAGTGTGCGCCCATGTGCACACTTGGTCCTAGCTCTCTGTGCTGCCATCTCTGCGGGACCAAGCGTGCTAGAACCACAGGCAGGGTGTCGCTGCCGTCACCTGATGACTCAGCCCCGAAACACGGAGTTACTTCACACGCAGTCAGGCCCCAAAACTGAGCCACGGAGCACACGTCTGAGATTGCTGAAAAGAGTGATGACAACAACCAAGGGCGTTACAGGGAAAAGGACAAGGAAGACCCCCAAGCAGATGAAATCGTCAGGTTCTGTGATGCCGGCTAAAGGTGGAAGCTGCAAAATCACCGAGAAGACATGAAACAAAGCCCAAGGCAGTGAGGGGCTAGGGTGACAGTCACTCACTACACAGACTATCTTAAGGCATAAAGTTTAATTATTTTTAAAAGAAAGACACCGTTACATGAACCTCCACTTATACATCTTTGTGCTTTGTCAAAACTGTCCTTCAGAAAGCTTTACTGCTTGCTTACCCACCATCTCTAGACAAAAGATAAACTGAGATCCTGTGCCCACCTCTCTCTATTCCCAATCACAGCATAATCATTCAGCTACACTGCTTTAAATGTAACATTCAGACACAAGGGTGTATTTTTTGTTCTTGTTAGAACATATTATTTTATTTTATTTTTCAATTACAGTTTACATTGGCTGTTACTTTGTATTAGTTTCAGGTCAGATAAGCACACGCTTCCCAAAGTGCTCCCCCCGTACTTCCAGTGCCCACCTGGCGGCACCACATGTAGTTATCACAATGTTATTGGCTCTGTTCCCTGTGCTGTACTTACACCCCCATGACTATTTTATAACTAACAACCTGCATCTCTTAAGCCCTTCACCCAATGGCCCAACACCCCTCCCACCAGTCAGACACAGGTTTCTAAGTTTGGCAGCAAGAACAAGAGACCGTGAAGAGTCACGGAGTGCCCTGTGCTCCCTTCTCATTTGTACTTACTACACATACCCGGGGGAGGAGGGGGGCGGGATTCATTCTGCCGAGTGGCTCAGTATGAGTCACAAATTGCCGGCCAGCGTTTTGAAATGTCATTTTTATTGATCTCTATTTGATGTTCCATTTGCCTTTCCCGGAGGAGACAAATGATGTTTATGGCATTTCCCTAATAGCAGACCTTGAAAAGCTGAGTTTAAATGAGCTCTGAAAAAAAAACCATAACCAAATGAAATATCAACTAGATAAAACTATCTGAATGCACATAAATTAATGCTGATTCTAGCACTGACATGTATCTATCTTCCTTGAGACTTCACAGGTCACAATAAAGGCGCCAACGTACTACATAACAGAATAACACATTTCGGAGCATAACAGGCAGCATAAAAACCGTAGGAAAGTCAAATCTCAGGCACAAAACGTAAATCTGTCAGCTGAGCACATGAAATATAAAGGATGGTTCAAAGAGTGAGACTAGAAAACCAAGGACCGAGCCCTGCTCTGTAAAGCCCGGGAGTCGGGGCCGCACTGCCAGCTCTGTAATTAAAACCAAGTAGCAAGGCTGACTCATCTGGCTGCCACGTTCCTTTACACCAACTTCAAAACTAAATCCGTCAATGAAAAGCAATTGTTGCTCCACAGTAACAGATGAAAAGTTTACTTTATAGGATAGGTATAGTGTTTAAATGCCTTCTACTACTTTCAAATACAGTAGTTATTTAATAAGATGACATAAATGAATTGCATAAAGTTAAACTGGAAAGCAATTACAATCTTAAGTCATGGTATACCACCCATAAATCCACCTGCGCACAAGAATGAGCTGCTAGTCTTAAGCTGAAGATACACTAACAGACTAGGTCATTAACAACAGAGATGTTAGTAAATAGATACTTAGTAAGCCTATGATTTTAAAAGCCAAATTTTTCATTTTCAGGGGAATGACTGATTTTGAACTTTTACTCCACAGAAAGCATGAAAAAAGTCATAAGAACATTAATTACATAGTAATGCAATGAAATCAAAGACATTGTATTTCGGAAGGTGCACACCCCCGCTCACCCTCCAACACCTATTCAGACGCCATGTCCTCACACTGCCCTGGCCAGCCCAGGCCCGAACACGCGGCAGCGCCCCCACCTGTCCCGGCACTCGGCCTTTTCTGTGAACTCGCCCACACTCTCCTTTCGCTGCACGACTTTTCACCGCCTCCACTCCACCACGGGCATTTTAAGTTCTTTTTGAGCCCCCAACAAAGAACGAATAAATGATTGGATGGATGGATGGATGGATGGATGGATGGATGGATGGTTAGATGGTGGGTTAGGCAACACAATCCAAGGTTAGGGGTCAGGATGATTTAAGATGTTGAAATTACTTTAAGTCATGCTCTCAAGAATCAGCGCTAGATGACAGATGAAATTATGGCCCCCAAGTCTCACTGAATCTATATATTTGTTTTCTCTTTTAAATAATTCTGAATCTGTAAGGTAAATTAACCTCTACAAGCAGCTCAAACAACCAACCTTTTGAAAATTCTTTAATACTTCATTTTTTGGCCAGTGTTTTTATATTCTAAAAGCATAAAACATGAGTTTCAAAAATCCCTTTATTATCAAAAAACATACTGACAGTATAAAAGACAAGAACAATGTTTAAGCTCCAAAGTAAGTTTTATTATGCAAAGAAACAAGAGCACCTAAGGTTTCTTAGAGTTTAACTGAATCACCAATGTCCTTATGTAGCAACATGAATGACATGCTTCTCGGATAAAAGCGATAAGGCAAAGCACAAACTACATACATACTCTGACTACGACCTTGTAAAACACACCCAGGCAGAGAAAAGGGGCCTGAAGGAAATGTAACAAAATGACCAAGGTGATGATGGATGCTGCGGGCGACGTGTTTCTGCTTTCCATTCCTCGGAGAATCTATTTTATCTCATCATGATAACCTCATTATGATGTATTTCTATGTAACCCCTCAGGTGTCATCTCCTTATCTTCTATCTCCTTAAATTAAATTAGTACACATCATTTATTAATTACTATCTGCTTTTATGTTTAAAAATACCGAGTTGGTGGAGATAAATACTATTAACATTTTATGTGTAATGTTCCCATTTTATTTTTTAAAAAAGGAAAAAAAATACCATGCTGGATGCCCTGGCTGGAATGGCTCAGTTGGCTGGAACACCGTCCTGTAACCCAAAGTCTGCCCGTGCAGTTCCCAGTCAGGGCACATGCCTGGGTTGCAAGTGTGTTCCCTGAGTTCAGAGACACGCATGGTCCCTGGTCTGAATGCGGTGTGAGAGGCAGCCCACATGAGAGATGTTTCTCTCTGTCCCTTCCTCTCTCTCTAAAAGCAATGAAAGAAAAATGTCCTCCGGTGAGGATTAAATAAATAAATAAATTAAAATGCCATGTTGGCATCCGAGAGGTTGACGTGTAAGCACTGCTCAGTCACTGTAGCGGTGTGAACCTGATGAAGATACTTCAAGTCCCCAAGCCTCGATTTTCCTGTGTAAGCAAACCAGCTGCAGAAGTAAGTAACATCTCACATAAAATAACCTAGCCTTGGGCCTAGCTCGCAGTGGTGACCAACTTACAGTACTTCCACTTTCAACATCTTCGTTATCAACTGAATTACTATAAATCAAGTAGACATCACTGATTAAGTATTTGCTTAAGAGGCAATCCATTTATCTTAAGAAAAGCTCCTCCATTCATGGGCCTTAAAATCTACTGAGAAGCTTAGGAAGACATTTTTAATAGAGCCTGGGAATCTTTTCCACTTGGCCTGGATAGGAGTGCAGCATCCTTCCAAACACGGCAGCCCAGGGGGCCAGGAGTAGCCAGGACAGTGAAAGCCCATTTATCATCAGGGACCCAGAGCAAGGGATTCTTAGGGAGCTTCTCCCAGCACATGGAGAACAAGGCTGTGACACAGCAGAGGGATGAATTCTTTTCACAGGTTGACTGAAGAGTTAAATCTATGACTCAATTACAGTTCACCCAATAAAACATTTTAACAGTGCAGACATTTAAAAACAGGTGTTTATAAAAAACTGGTTTAGTATTTCAATAGAAACATTACAGAAAATCTTCACGGTTTTCAATTTAGCAATGATTTCTTAGCTATGATACCAAAAACACAAGCAATGAAAGAAAAATTTGATAAACTGAACTTTATCAATAAAGTTAAAAACTCTAGTGTATCAAAGGACATCATCAAGACTGTGAAGACAATCTACAGAATGGAAGAAAATATTTGCAAATCATCTGATAAGGATGAACACATAAGCACTCCCGTGACTCAGCAACAACAACAAAAAAACATTAAAAAATTAACAGAACAACTGAGCAGACATTTCTCCAAAGATAAGCAACTAGCCCAGGCTGCGGTGGCTCTGTGGATTGGGCGCAAGCCTGTGAACTGAGGAGTAATAACTGTTTTGATTTCCAGTCAGGGCACATGCCTGGGTTGCTGGTCTGGTCATGTAAGAGGCAATAAATCAATGTCTCTCTTGCACGTTGATGTTTCTCTCCCTCCCTTCCCCTTTCTCTAAAAATAAATAAATACAATCTTTTAAAAAAGAAGGAAAGTAAATAGCCAAAAAATACATGAAAAAAGATCAACATTATGAATACAGGAAAATAAAAAAATTACAACCAAAATGACATACTGCTTCACCATTTCTGAGAAGGCATAATCAAAAAAAAAGAAAAGAAGTGTTGATAGGGACATGGAGAAATCGGAACCCTCCTACATTGCCGGTGGGAATGTAACATGGTACAGCCACTGTAGAAGACAGTTTGGCAGTTCCTCCAAAAACTCAATATAGTATTACCATATGATCCAGTAATTCTACTCACAGCTATATATGCAAAAACAACTGAAAACAGGGACTCCGACAGATACTTATACACCAACATATGCTGTAGCGCCATTCACAGAAGCCAAAACGTGGAAACAGCCAGGTGTCCGCTGATGGGTGAATAAACAAAATGTGGTATATACATACAGGGGAACAATATTCAGCTATAAAAAGGATGAAATTCTAACACATGCTACATGGATAAACCTTGAACAGGTTATGCTGGATGAAATAAGCCAGACATAAAAGGACAAATACTGATGATCCACTCACCTGAGGCACCTACAATAGTCACATTCATGGAGACAAAAGTAGATCAGAGGTTATCGGACTGGGGGAGGGGGAATGGCAGTTAACGATGGTGACAGAGTTTCTTTTTGGGTGATGAAAACATTTGGGAAATAGTGGTGATGGCTGCACAGCACCGGGAATTAATGCTACTGAATTGGCAAACTTTGTTTTATATATATATTTGCCACAATCAAAATTAATTAATTAATTAATTAAACTTAAAGGCGGGGGTTAAAAAATACAGGATAATAAATAAAAACGACCACATCAGTACCTTTCCACACACTGTGTCCGGGACAGAGGAGGCTGGCATCTTCGGTTGCGAGCTTCCCGGGCAGCAAGTCTAGCTCCTGACAACTGAGAGTACAAAATCCACTTAGTATCATATCCCACCTGCCGCCATGCTAAAGACACTGGTACCACATTCTGACAAAGCAGCAGCCAGAAATTCAAGTGGCCCAAAGCTGTAGACGAGCATCATGTGAGGGGGGAGGGGGGAAGATACCCAAAACATTAAACTGGAAAAAGTCTAGAATTGTTTGAAGCAGCGCCCAACACATGAAGATTAAAGCACGGAGATGAACTCACATGTGGTGAGCTTCACAGGGGTACAGAAGAGTAATATACAAGACTGTTTTCTAATAAACCCAACAACGCTGAAAGTATTCTGGTCAAAACTTTCAGAAACTATAATTAGACCAAGTCCGAGAGGATCCCAGCTCATAACTATTTCTTTAAGTGCCCAGTAGCTGTATAAAAGATGTTCAATGCAAATATTTTTAAAAAAACGTGTTTTTCTAAAACACTTGCTGGAACAATCATGAGCTAGGCATTTCAGGGAGAAATCTATCTTTATTGGCAGACCGAGTATTAACACCTCAGAAGGTCTTAACGAGAACTAAGTCTTGGAGACAGTAGTTTAAGATATCAGTGATCAAAGTACGTTCAGAGTAAGTACGAACTCCAGTCTAACAAAAAAACATATCTTCATGTCTTAAATTTATCTCATGCAGTCTCAAAAATGTCATGTACATCAAAATATATACACATCCAAAAAGCTAATATACCTTTTCATCTTCCCATTGAAAAAAGTCACAATCTTTCCTATCTCTACAGGCGGAGCAGGCATAAAACCTCCGTGTTTCTTCTTTGCCGTGGCTCACCTTCACAAACAAAAGAGTGGGTCCTAGTTCCAGAAGAGGGAAAATCATGTCAAAGAGCAGTCATCAACATCAAGTTCCTAGTTTTCACCGCCTTCTATAAACCTTGTTTTAATTTTATGCACGATTTGTCATAATTAAACCGACTACTTTAATAATTAGGAAATAACTTTTGAAAACTGGTCTCTCCAGAAACAAAATGCTATTGTTAGAACTGCCGTCCACACGGTGAATGACCTGGGTCCTGAGACTAAAACGAGGAGGGCGTCCACAGAACGGACCACTTTGCCACCTCGTTACGGTCCACTCAATAGTCCTGAGCTTTTACAGCAGGACACACCCTCTCTCCACAAATAAGAGAAAAACCGGGTCTGGTTTCTATGCCAGAATTCATGCTATCGTTCTCCCTAACTTTTCTGTTTTTTGTTTTTTAACTGAAAAGAAAGCCAATCAACAGATGAAATCCTCAGATACTCAGCAAAGGGACTTACTCAACACGCATCCCCTTTGCCTAGCCTCTAGCTCTGGGGCCGAAACCACCACAGTGGGGACTCTCTATGATGTTTCTTAAGTTGAAAACCACAAACTCCCGAGGAAGACGCGTTTTCTAGGCATTACACACGGTGGAAACAGGCTGATAAAACTCAGAAGCACTAAAAGCCGGTGGAAACTCAGGGTAGCCCTCGCCCCTCGGCGCCCCACAACCAGACTGAGCCCCAACACGGACGCACCGTGAGGGCACAGCGGGGCGGGGGTGGCGGGATCGGAGAGAAGCACCACCTCCATCCCCGCGCTCCCCGCGCTCCCCACGCCGCTGTCGCTGCCCTCCGCCTCCGCCGTTCCAAGGCTGTCCCTGTGGGTCGCCATCTTCCCGCCGCCGTCCCGAAAGCCTCAGTCCAAAAAAAAAAAAAAAAAAAATTTTTTTTAGAGGCTGAGAAAGAGCGCCGCCACACCCCGCAGAGATTCATAGCGCCCCCACGCGTCTGGGAGGAGCGGGGACTGCCGAGGTGAGGCCGCTCCCTGAAACGCAGTCGCCACCAACTCTGGCCTGCAGTTGAGCAGTGCTTGGTACATAGGAAGGTACGCGTTGCAGTCAACTTATTGGACCTATGCAGTAAGCTCACCTGTTTTCTGCCGCACTCCTTGGCACCTGTGAGTACCCTCCTTTCATAAGAATACATGCAGGAGATGAGACGACTCTTTGGAGCAAAGATTTGGTCGCCTTTAAGTCTACAAGACAGCATCGCCACCAACAGCCGCGGACAAAAGAAGAAGCTGATACCTCTGCGCTTCATGAAACCGCCTTCCTTTCAAAGTTGGTGTCATCTTATACCTTTTGAACAGTATTTATGGTTGCACACTATAGTTCCGTATCATCAACATTTATATATTGTAAAGAAATAAAACTGTCCCTATTTGCATCTGGCATGATTGTCTACATAGAAAAATCCCAAGGAATCTACAAAAATAACTCTAAACGGAGTTCAACTGGGTTGCAGGATACCAGATAAACATACAAAAATCTATTGAACTTCTATATACTAGCAAAGATCACAGGAGCACAAATTAAAAACTAGTACACTACTTACAACCACTCAAATATTATATGAAATACTTGGGTTTTATGTAAATCTAACAAAACGTGTACACAGAACTCATATGCTGAAAACTATGAAATGCTGATAAAAAAAATCAAAGATGATCTAAATATCTAAGTAAAGGTAGAGTCATACTGTGTTGGTGGGTTAGAAGACTCAACATAGTAAAGATGTCAGTTCCCCCCAAGTTTAGGGCAGATACAGGTTTAGGTTCATTTCTATAAAAATCCCAGTCAGATTCTTGTAACTACAGATTATATTATTCTGAAGTTTACATGAAAAAGCAAGGGAACTAGGACAGCTGCAACAATGTTGAAAAATAATAATAATGTGGGAGGAATCTATCTCAGTTCAAGACTTATATCGCTGCAGGAAACAAGCCTGTATAGTTGTAGATGAAATCTAGTATCTAAAGAATCTATGGTACTTGTACACATTTAAATTCATACATTTGCTACTATGGTATATTAACTTAGGAATATTGCTCTTCTGCAAGCATATTTCTTGCAATGATGTCATTCACCTACACCTATAGCCCCTGGGCTTTGGTATAACAATCCCCCTTTCCAAGTTGTCCAGCACGATATATGTCTGTATCTTTAGGACAGGGAACTTTCTAGTGATACTTTTGAAAATTTTATCTCAAGACCTAACTACCTAGGGTCATCAACATTAATGTTTCTATTTAACAGTTTTAACGAATAGGTAGATACCTGTAATCTTGAAAAGGCTTGTTTACAAAGCTTGCAATTGAATTCATAAAATCATACCACTATAAATAGTTACTGAATCTGTATTTTCTTATTCTCTCTTACACAATTCTGACGCTGTGAGGTGAGCTCTATAAGCAGCCCAAACCAATAAGGATTTGCAGCCTTTGCCATCAAAGTCCAGTAAAAGTTGTCCAAACAAGGTAAATTGAAAGAGCACACCCTAGTGGGAGAGACTTGGAAGGTTTCAAAAGTAAGGCAATTCTCTCTCTTTTCTGAGGGATAATTCAAGGTCAAAAATAGTCACCCAGATTTAGACATGTATATGCAGTGTATGTTGAATGTTTACTCACGAGGTCATGAATAGGAGCAGTAAGGGATGAATGTTTCATTTGGTTGTGTAATAGTATTTTTAGTTTGTGCAGGAAAATATTTTTAGTTGGGATGAATGTTTCATTTGGTTGTGTAATAATATTTTTAGTTCGTGTCTGCTTGAGCAGACAAAGCAAAGGGACGCAGAGGATCCTTGAAGGAAACTAGCGGCGGAGCTGAAAATGGGCCCCTTGAGGTCTGGGTGCTGAGAGAGGCCAGTTACACTCTCCCAGGACGATCCTGAATGCCCCAAGACAAGCTCCAGTTCAGGGACCGCCCCACCAGACGATGTGGACAAACCCGTGAGCTTCCCATAGGCATTAGGGCATCTCGCTCCTTGATTTCGTTAACAGGGTAAAAGCCCTCCGAGCCCAGATCTCCCACAGGGAAAGTGGTTGGAGCCAGAGGAACATTTTCTAGTGGAGGCCTGACCAACTTCATCTTCTGTCAGAGCACCCAGTTTTCCCGTGGGACGCCCACGGGATTTTAGCCCACATTGTTGGAGAGATACAAAGAACCCTAGGGACCAGCTTGGGCTTGGGCAGGTGACTTGGGGATGGCGGGAAAAGCTGTAACGATTAGATTCTGTCATCTCAGTGGCATCCATGATACTGACTTGTCACGTGTCTCAGGGGTTCGGCTCTTCAGTTTGTTCTGCGCTAGGTCGTCCGTGTAATGTTGGCAGGCCCAGGTTCCCCCGGGCTGGGATGACTCTGCGCCTCGTGTCTCTCATCCTCCTGGCGATGGACTGAATTTTTGTGTCCCCCTCCAATTCACATGCTGAAATCCCTAACCCCAAAGGTGATAGTCAAATAAGCAGAACCTCTGAGAGGTGATTAGCTCTTGAGGGTGAAGCCCTCAGGGATAGGATTAGTGCCCTTTTAAGAGGCTCCAGAAAGCTCCCCGATCCCTTTTTCGCTATGTCAGGATACAAGGAGAAGTCCGTGACCCAGAGAGAGCCCTCGCCCGACTTTGTTGGCATCCTAACCTCGAACTTCCAGCTTCTAGAACTGTGAGCAATAAATTCCTGTTGTGTCTGAGCTACCCAGTCTGTGTGATTGTTACAGCAGTCCTAAAGAACTAAGACGTTCCTGGGACCAGGGTCCAGCCTGGGCACGTCGTTCTCATGGAGGTGGCAGAAGCACAGGAGAGCTCGGAGAGACAAACTTCTGGTGGCCTTGGCTTGGAGCTGCCACTGTCACTTCTACCTCACTCTTTTGGCTTGAGCAAGTCGAAAAGCACTGCACATGGCCAAGCACTGCAAAGCTACATGGCAAAGGGATGGGTCAGAGGGTCAGAAAGGGCTGGGGAATTGGGGCCAGTGACACCATCCATCACAGAAGCACCTTGCCTGGGATAACCAAGGGACTGGTGGCAGTGTTTCCAAAAACTTAAGGAGCCCCTGCCTTAGCAAGAAGTCAATAAGAAGAACCCAGAACTTGGAGACAGGAATGTGTGATGATATCATGTGAGCACCTAGATCCAGCCATGCCTTCTGCTTTCAATAATGAGAATCATGAATTTCCTTAAGTCAGTTTCAGATGGGGTCATTTCTATGAGTCACAACTAAGATCAGCAACTAATGTTCTCAACTAATGTTCTGAGGTTGCGGCCATAATATTGGATGGATGGATGTCTATAAATAGGGTATGGAACTCTTTCCCAAGCAGGACCAGCTAACCTTTCTATGATTCTTGCCAATCATCCTGCTATCCTCCCCTTTATCTTTTTCTTTTACTCATCAGTGGCCTCTCCTGCTGAGGCCCTTTAAATTAGACTAACGAAAGAGAAATTAACAAGAGAGAAAAACAAGTTAGTTAGCTGTGCATCGAGCACATGGGGAGCACCTAAAAATGAGTAACTCAAAGGAGTGATTAGAATGTGGCCTTATACAGCATCTTAATGAAAAAAAAATACATTTTTAGAGATATGAGTGGACAAAGGAGAAGGGCTTGGAGCTCTAAGGGTGGCAGACGGTGGAGAGGCAGATGCCTGGGGCAACTAACGGCAGATACAGACGCGTTGTAGCAAACTGTTCTGTGGATGCCTCCATTGCCCTCTCTGGTCCGATGAGGGTCTAGAATTGTCTCCACTGATTAACTTCTGTCCTACGGGTAGAGAAGGGAGGGGGCAGACGTCTTTACAAGTCATGCCCTGCTTTTGGGCAAAGGTCTTCTTTTTTTTTTTAGATTTTCTTGAGGGGAAGGGAGAGAAGAAGAAACATCAAATTTTTTCATGCATCCCCTTGCTTCCCTCCGGCCAGAAATCTTTTCTTATGTCTGCTGCTTCTTAATCACCTTCAGCTTGAAATAACCCTGAAGACCAAGTGACATTTTGGGGAGTGGCATGTTCTGCTATCCCTCCTCCATCTCTTCATTCAGAGTCCAGAGCTTTTTCTACAGCATGCCTCTATAGATTATACCAAGTTCTATGTCAGTGACAACTCGACCTCTCTGAGCCACAGACTTTGAAACTTAAGGGTGATATTGCCCCTCTAGACATATTAGGGCGGATGCTGTCCAGTAAGCAAGCGGCACTTTAGCTGGAGGTGCAGAGAATGATGCGTTTCCGAGCACTCACTGATCACAGGGAGAGCTTGTGTAGCTAGAGGTTACATTGCTTAGAAACTCTGCCAGGGCAGTGACGACCTTGATTTACACAGTACCTTGGTTGAAATGTAGTTCCTGGTTACCTTTAAGTCCTGCCATTCAATACAAACACTGGAAGGGTCGAACAGCTCTCTGGATTGTTCCCGAAGCCACGCTGACATCAAAGGCAGTTTTATTCACCCGGACAGGCGGTCAGGCCTAAGTGCCACTGAATCCAGCCGAACCAGTTCCGGCACCAGGGCCCGCCCAGAGGGGTTTATGGAACTTTCTGACTCGGGAGCGGGGTGGCTACCTGGTTTTTCTACTGTTTCCTCGGGCTTAGGGGTTTGCCAAAGCCTTGATTGTCAGGCGGGAGCATTGTAACCAGAGCTGAGGCGCGGCCAGCCGGGTCCCTGGAGTCAGAGGAAAAATAAACACATCCCTTTGTTTACAGAGTACCTTGGCTTCATTTTGGGGGCATCACATGCTTTCACCTTCCAGGTCTAAAAAAAACCCATCAGGCGACACGCAGAGGCCCAGTCACCGGCTGCCAGGATAGCATTTCATGGTCAGGACCCGGGCGTCAGGATTCTGAACAAAAACCCTTTTGAAATGTCACTCAGTTTCTCAGGGAGTCAGGTTTGGATAAGTCTCTTACTATTATTACCTGGCGACCCTTGGGCGCCATTTCCACTCAGCCCCACATCAACCTGTGTCACACACAGAACACTTTAAAATAGCCCTTTTGATTCCAAATCTGCCACCACGCTCCAGGAAAGACGGCATGAAATCGAGAAATTGGTGTGCGTGCAGACCCCCTTCACGCAATGACCCGAACCCAGAATCACAGGTGTGTGCCTTAGTCCGTCATCTAAAACTGAAAACCCAAATGCACCATTAACGCAAAAAGCTCGTTGTCTGGAAACAGAGTCTATGACTAACAGGATTCGTGCCGCGCTCTTCACAAAATATACCTTATTTTGTCCTTGTTACAAATCTCTGAACTTACCATTAGCTCATGTATTTTACCTGTGCAGGTGGCCTGGGAGATCGCAAGATCTGACCGAGGACATGGAGCTGATAAGGGCAGAACCAGGACTTAAACACTGGTCTGTTCCCACCTCAAACTCTTCGTCAAAAGAGAACGGTGTCACGCCTTCCATTTATTGAAGATAGCAATATCAGAGCATACATAACTTTAGAGTATTCGAAAGTGACAACAATTAAATCTATTGCATTACTTGGTGGTAGAATAAAAACTTTAAAGATTTAAAAATTTCTTTTTCTCACAGAACTCTTTCCATGAATTCGGAAGCATGCTAAAATGCACTGAACAGAAGGATGCTGATTAACAATGCAGTTTGCTTAAATAAGTGCATTTTTGTTATGTACTAAAACTTTCCGATCCATGGGCCAAGAGGGTGAATGCGTCATACCCTCCACAGTCCAGGAGAAATCCAGATATTGGAAATATGCTTCTGTGATAAACATGAGAAGTGTTGAGAGCTCAAGTCAAGGGCAGTCAAGCATTTAGTTTACAAAGCACTTATTGTTCCTCCCTTGTATGCAAGGGATTTACGATCAAAGAGGCAAGGGTAGAAACATGGCAGTGCGGGACCCGTGGTCAAAGATGGTGAAGGCCAGTATTCCTTAGAAAGTCTTTGATTTTAGATCTATCACCATTGTCAGCTTTCTCCTCTCCCTTTGAGCAGCATTTAAAGAGTAAATCCAAGAGCTGAAACTGTACCTTATTGATTTTTGTATTCCTACTACCTTTTGGAGAATCAGGCACACAGTGAGTAAGTACCTCATAAATGTCTAGAATTCAAGGAGTGATTTATATCTTGCCATGCCAACTGTTCCCCATTCAGGAGCAGGGATTTTCTAAAGGAAATGAAACATGGCTAAAGCAAAATCCATGTATCTGCCGTGACTGAGAAGGCAGAGGTTGGTTCACGATGATGTAGAACAGAAACAATAGCCCAGCAGTGAGCAAGGCAATTACCTCCACAGTCAAAATAATTACTGCAAATAAAGGTCGAAAAGGTCCCACCCATGAAGGAGAAGAACTCTCAGACCTCGCTTCAGAGAGTATGTACAGGTGGGTGTCCCTGTGATCTCAGTCCTCCGCTAGGGACGTGGCTCAGAAGGCGGCTGGGGCTGCAGTGGCGGCTCAGGCAGAGGCTGACCTTGGCCCCATCGGACAGACTGACGCACGTAGAGGGGCGTAGGTTGTTTACTTTGAGTGGTGTTAGGGACTGACATGTGTTGTCCCCCAAATTCATGTTGAAGACCACACCCCCGATGTGACTGTGTTTGGAGAAGGGGTCTTTAAAAAGGTAATTAAGGTTACGTGAGGCCAGATGGGTGGGTCCTAATCCTATGGGGCTGGTGTCCGTATAAGCAGAGACACCAGGGATGTAAGTGCTTGGAGAAAAGGCCAGGTGAGGACACAATGAGAAAAGGATTTCTGGCCCTAGGGGGCAGGTCAAACCAACACTGCTGGCACTTTGACCTTGGACTTGTGGCCTCCAGACTGTGAGCAACCAAATTTCTACTGTTTAAGCCTTTTGGTCTAGGGTAATTTGTTATGGCAGTCCTGGCAAACTAATGAAGGTGGCAAAGCAAATATTCATATAAATGTGCTCCCATATAAAGGCTTATTCTTTTAATTAAATAATTGAAACATGGAAAATAACAGACAAGGTAAAAAACATTCACTTACTTGCCACTCATATGTGAACAAATGTGGGCACCTTGTATTTGCTGCAGAGTTTTCTCAATTCTTGTAGTTTGGTGTAGCTATCTTGCAAATCTTTGGTTAAACTCATTCCTGGGAATAGGATGTTTTGCTGCTGCTATAAATGATATCTTTTTAAATTTTCTAACTAATGTTGGTACAAAAATCTTACAAAATTCATCTACTAATTCTAATAGTTATTGGTAGATGCTTTTGAATTTTCTACATGGTAATTGTCATCTGTAAATAATGAGTTTCTCTCTTTGTTCCTGACTCTCATGCCTTTACCTCCTTCTTGTTTACTGCTCTGGCGGGGCTCTCCAGGGCAATACTGAGTAAGACCGATGACACCAGCCATCCTTGGTGGGCAGCTGGTCTCAGAGGGAGCGTGTGGAAGGCAGAAGAATGGTGATGTCCATGTCCTAATGGCTAGAATTTATGGATATGTTACATGGCCGAGGAGAATTAAAGTTGCAGACCAGCAAGGCCTTAATTCAGGAAGGTTATCCCAGGTCCCCCGGGTGGGCCCAGTGTAATCCCTGGTGTCCCTAAAAGTGGAAGAGGAAAACGGTGAAGGGATTCAGAAGCACAAATTGGTAGTTTCGGAACAGTCACAGGGATGTAAAGTACAGCATAGGGATACACTCAGTAATATTGTTCATAACGATGGATTGTGCCAGGTGGGTAACTAGACTTACTGGGGTAGTCGCTTTAGAAGTCATAAATGTCTAATCACTGGATTGTGTACCTGAAACTATATAATGTTATAGGTCAACTGTAATTAAAAAATAAAAACTTTTTTAAAAAGTGAAAACGAGAGGTAGAAGTTGGTATCAGAGTGATTTGCTAAGAAAAGGGTTCAAACGAACCCACTCTAGCTGGCTCTGCAGATGGAGGAGAGGGCCATGAGCCAAGGGACAAACGAGTGAGGCCTCTGCAAGCTGGGAAGGGCAAGGACACTCCTCCCCTGAGACTCCAGGAAGGAACGCAGCCCCACTGACACCCTGGGTTTGGCCGGGTGCGACCTGTGTCGGACTTCTGACCTGCAGAAGCAAGTCTGCGGTAATTCATTACAGCAGCAATAGAAAACGAATGCAGAAGGCTTTGGGCTTTCCAACACTATGATGTGTTTTATGGGGGTTTGGGGATATGTTGTCTACTTGCTCTTGTGTTACTTTATTTCTGGAACATCCTCTGAGCTGTCATTTTATCCGCACCCTCCCTGAGCATTGCTTGTCCATCTCATTTCTGAACTTCTCCAACTCTGATGCCGTGTTGTTCCTCAGTTCCTATCATTTCTCAAATTCCTCCAGCATTTAAAAAATATTCTTCTGCTTTGTAAATGCTTCTGGGACAGCTTCATTCTCTGTGGGTGTGTTAGATCGGTTATCTTAATTTTTCAGAGCATGCTGTTAGTTGTGGTCATGTTTACGTGGGTTTTTCTATTATTTCTCCTCCTATATTTTTCGAAGATTCTTGTGTGAGTTGTATAATGGGAGCCAGGACAGTTTCCCATTTTGTGGCCCTCGGGTGGGTTCTCTGTCCCATAGTTGCTAACTGGTGTTAAATGAGTGTTCTGTGTGCCTCTTTGGTACTTCCGACTTCTGTCTCCTCAGCCTTCTGTTCTACTCAGTGTCTGAACCTTCCCTCCTTTACCCCAACATCCTTCCCTTGTCAATGTGTGTTCTGTACCCAGCAGCTTCGCCCGGCACGGGGCTTTGTGCTCTCACTGGCTACTTCCGGGAATCCAGGTTGCCCGAGCACCCTACCTTTCGGCAGGCTCCTTTCACTAGCCAATAATTCATTCCTGGACAGCCCTCTCCCAGCTCTGCTTTTTGGACCCACTGGCTGAGGGTGGCACCACTACTGCAGACTCTTCCATCGGGGCTGAGCACACGTTGGCAACGTCTGGGCTCTTTGGCTCTTAGGAACATCACATCTCCCTTCCTCTCTGCTTGCTTCTCCAAGCTGTTATTCTCACGTGACCTTGTTGCTATTGATGGTTTTAGTTCCCACTGCTCAGATTCTGGGATTCACAGGGATGGTCTATTGTCTAATTTTAGTGACAATGGCGTCACTGTTTCTTTTTTCTCTTTTGCTATAGGACAGCTCCGAGGGACTTGGGAGCTTAAAAAACTACCCACTGTGGCCACCATCCTACCTCCCATAATTAACTTTTCATTTTAAAATGCCTTGTATTTTTTTCTATTTACATTATAATGCCCAGGACAGGACAGACTTAGTAATGAAAAGATCCACACTTTTCCTGATTAAACACGTCTATTTCTTGTTCATGTCATGGTCCAATGAAGTCGGTGGGCTCTCCTCTCCAGGCAGTGACTCCCAGGCCCCGGATGCTTCCGTTTTGCAAGCTGTTTGTTGGCAGCAGGAAGTAGGAAGACGGGAGAGTGTTCAACCACGACCACGGACTGTGACGGCCGTGACTTTTCCTGCCAGGTCTGAAGTCACAATACCCCTCTTCCCCACATCTCGCTGGCCAGAGCTCAGCCCCAGCCCCGGAGTAACTGTGAAGGAGGCGGACTATACACAACGTGCAACGCCGCCTGTCTCTCCCTGTGCTGCTGAAGGACGCGGGACGTAATCTGACCAAAGAACGTGTCACCGTCATTTTAAAATAAAACTTTAATTCCATCAGTATCGTATTTTAAATTTACCAAAAATTGTGAATCAAACTATTTTCAATTATAAAATGTCATGTTTCCAGTCTTCAACGGTGACACATTTGGGGGAGAATAAGGCAGCATATGATTAAATAAAATTAAAATGTCTCCAATTATAAAGGTCCTAGTTAAATATATCTTTTGAAATTATAAAGACTTAAACTATACTACTAAGATATGAAGTAAGAAAATGGTGGTTTGGCATCATTTATAAACATAAACATGTTTACAAATCTAAATATTCAATACACATACTTCAGGAGAAATCTAGCCTTAAGACAACAATTTCTACTACTTTTAGTCTAACAGTTGACACTATAAATATATTCACTGAAAAAAATTAGCACAATACTTAAATAAGAATCAAGTTCATGAAAATTTACAAAATATAACCAACATACTCTGACTTATAATCACATCTTAAATATTTCGACTTAGCTTTTCTGGCCTGGTCAGACCATTAAAAATATTTCCACACTATTTTAATTTTAGGACATAAAACAGTAGTAACTTACTGAGATTTTCATCATAAAAATTAAAAATTAATATAGTAATTCTCAACATACTGAAAAAAAGAACGGTTTTAGAAAGCAGTTACCCACATCACAACCATTTAGTTCTTTTAGAACACGCCTTCCAAGGCACGTTTCAATGACTAGTATTCATCTGAAGACGGGCTCAGCTCCCCACTTCCAGTTTTCCATCCTGTCCACAGGAAGGCGGTGAAGGGTCGGTGCGGGGGACACTTCTCCTGGGACAGCGGTGTTCTCACCCATCACAGCCACAAAGGCTAAGAGAAAGGAAGGAAGAAGAAGAGAACCACGGACCTGTCTTCCACCCTAACCTGACCTTCAGGGAGTACTTTTGATGCAAAAGTACTTAATTAAGAAAAAAAATCACAAGACAGAAAGCTTAAAAAGCAAAAGGCCAAAACTATAAACTGACCTGCTCATTCCAAGTGGTGGTATTTGTTTGGAGCTTGAAGAAGAGAATGAAGCTTCTGTGTCTTTGGAATCACATCTTCACATTGGGGACATCATAATTTAAATCCCTCAGTGAATTAAAAGTGCTACAAATTCCCAGAATGTCAGACATACTGACATTCAAAATCAAACATAAGTGATTTTATGGTTGTCTCTGTCATGGTTCGCTGTTATTAAGGCGGATGTTCTAAATTTGACTGTAATTATAACATTGGGAATTTCAAGTACCTGAAAATACTGCTGTTATTTTTTAAAGTTTATATCCTAGGACCCCCAAGTACAATCTAATACGTACTTTGAGGATGGTTTACTTTTCAGTGAAGTTCAACACTAACTGAAGTACTAAACTGAACAAGGTCAGTAATCTGGAGTAGTGATTATGTAACTGATTCCATGCAAGGAACGAAAAGGAATTTTTAATGCTGTTCTGGAATTTCAAAAACATTAAGGATCTACCTTAATTTTATATAATTCTCTTCAAGTCTCAGTTGAGTGTTTTTATTTTTTTAAAAACAGGACATCTTTAGATTTTTTCCTAATTATAATAAAATAAATGACCAAAAATATTCTTAAGTACAAAAGAAAAAAATAAAGGTCATCTACTATTTTAACCACGATATAATTTTCTGGTCCCTCACAATAGTCACTTTAGGGACTTATTCAAGTTCTAAAATAGCAGCTTTTTAAATTAAGGCAACATTGCTTTGTTCTTACTTGTTTTTCTATTAACTAATCTATTAAGTTCATAAGAGTAGTTTCATATTCAAAGGCTTTTATAATGTAAGAAGAATTAACATAAACATTCTTCTCGATGTTTAAAAAGTATATAAAAAGTTATTTTATTCAAAGTCAACAAATACCTTATTTTTCTATTTGAAATTCTAAAATAATTACAGTCATTTCAGAATGTGTAAACCATGAAATTACCTTTGCAACTAACATCATCAACATAAAGTACATTTTTCTGCAAAAATACAATAGAGGAGATATATCAGTTCTTCCCTGAAATAAAAAGCTAATATTTGGACAAAAAACTGTAAACTTTTGATAACATTCAAAACATAACCTTTAAAACACATATTATTTGAGGTTTTGGCAACCCGAGCGCTTAACAGCAGATTTGCTTCACTGCAATGCAATGTAAATACACTTTACATTTTAACTGCACAAGAACGCAGGCCTCTCTCCCATCTGCTACCAGGAGGAGAAAAACGGCTTCCTGCAGTGGAAAGTCTGCGTGAAGGAGCTGCTGAGGTGGACAACCCGGCCCCGCGCCCGCCCTTGGCTCTGCTCCACCATCACGCAGGGCATCTGCACCAGCTGGACAGGGCTCTTCCCGTCTCTCAGAGCCTGGGTAAGATTTAAGATCTGTGGAAAGAAGAAATATTTTCACCAATTCAAAAAGATAATGGCCCTCAGTTCACTGACACTAAGTTTAACCATTTATTTATAATTACAATTTGTATTTCATCTGTATATGCCCAACAGATTGTAGCCAGGAGTAACTGCTATAACTATACATTACATGGCCGTATGTATGTTTACACACATGACACACACATGTGCACAAAGTTAGAACTGAGTAACTTCCGCCAGCTGGCGCCTTTACAATACTCTAGAATGACCTACGTCCAGAAGTGAAATCAGAGACTGACAAAAGCAAGTGGTTCCACACATTCCATCTGACACAGAACCTAAATCAGTGCTGGTCTACAGAGTCTGGTTTTAACCACACACTGATTCAACAGATACATTCACGGAAAGCAAACACACGCCAGGCTCTGTTCCAGTGCTAGGGATACAACACTAGAGAAACAAACCAAACCTCTGCCTCCTGGAGCGTTCATTGTAGCAGGGGGAGGAGTCAGTAAATATTACAAACCAGTACATAAGTTACACCATGTATTAGGGGTGTCCAATCGTCTGGCGCCTCTGGGCCACAGTGGAAGAAGAGTTTTCTCGGGCTGTGCACTAAATACATTGCAACATGTAATCACGCACACAGAAATCTCGTAATGTTTTAAGTAAACCTGTGATTTTGTGTTGGGACACCTCCACAGCCATCCTGGGCCACAGGCTGGGCAGCCCTGTTAGAAGGCCAAAGTGCTGTGAAAGAGCACGATGCAGGGCCAGTGGCAAGTGCGTGACAGACTTGGGAAGGGAGCCATTTAAAATAAAGTTTTATTTAAGAGCTAACTCTTTGTTTCAATTGTCGTTCAAGTACAGTTGTCTCCATTCTCCCCACCACCGCTTTCCCTCGCTCCGAGGACCCCCACCTCCCACCCTTGGTCCTACCCAGTTTGGTTGGTCCCTGGGTCCTTTACACATGTTTCCTGATGACCCCCTTCTTCCCCTTCCCCCTCCCCTCTGGTCACTGTCAGTTTGTTCTTCATTTCAATGTCTCTGGTTCTATTTTGCTCATTTGTTTGTTTTGTTCATTAGGTTCCACTTATAGATGAGATCATATGGTATTTGTCTTTCACCGCCTGGCTTATTTCCCTTAGCATAATGCTCTCCAGTTCCATCCATCTAAGAGCTAAGTCTTAAATAGGAAATGTAAAGTAGGAAAAGTAAAATACACTACATTCCATGTTTACATATTCTTAGAACTGCTACTTGAGCATAATAATGTTATGAAACTTAATACATAGCTTACAGCCTTTTCTGTTCAGATCAACTTTTAACAATTCATTTTCTTTTTTCCCTGAATATCAAACAAAAAAATTCCCATTGTTATGTATTTAGTAATAAGGAGGTCTCCTTCAAGTATGTGGAAATATACAGTAAGCAGATGGTGTGCACTTGACTGGTTCACTAAAGACTATTTAATACTGATAAGCATAAAGGCTATAACACAAAGCCATACTAATAAATACACTTCATAACACATTTAAATAGTATAAACTGGATGGCTTAGATCTTAGAAGATTTTATTTATCCTTAGAGGGAAGGGAGGAAGAAACAGTGGGAGAGAAACATCGACGTGCAAGACGCATGTCAAGTGGCTGCCTCCTGCACGCACCCACCAGAGGCCCTGGCCCATAACCCAGACATGTGCCCTGGCCGAGTTTCTGTTTGCAGGATGACATCCAACCCACTGAACCGCACCAGCCAGGGCCAGATCTTGGGAGACAAAGTATTTAGCACATCAGGGAACCATCTCTAGTAACAGCAGTTACTCACTGCATTCGTTTTAGTGTCCTTCTTAAATTCTTCCCTTAAAACCCTCTAGTGCAGCACGTTTGAACAACAAAACGAAAGGAATTTATGAAATTTACACTTACATACACTATTTTTACCATGAAAATAAAATGCAAGCATCAGCATGGTTAAAGGACAAAGTGTTCTGGATAGTTCCCTCTGCTGGTTGTAAAAATTCTGTTCTAAAAATGTTGGTCTAAGCACACTAATTTAAATAACATCTAATGTTTTCCTGACTCTAAAAACAATACACAATTATTGTAGAAATTCTGGAAAACAGAATGGTATAAAGAAAATAAAGTCATTCTACTAAGTTAACAATTTTCAAATATATACTAATAGTACAAATTATTCTACCCTAAAACTATCCTAAATATTAGTATTTCTTCAAGAGTTGAGAAAACACTTGATAATGTTGCATTTATTTGCCAAAGAAATATTTGCCAAGCAAACACTGGGCTGGTGAGAAGACTCCTCCCCATAAGAAGAACCACGTGAGCCCGCAACATACCCACACTCCAGAAGCAACAGCCGGATGAACAAGTGACGGCAGTGTCGCGTGAGAAACACTTTAACAGCAGCCGACCTATGCCCTCACTTTAAAAAACTGTTCCCGTTCCCTGCATATCGCCATTCTTTCCTTTCTCAAAGAATAAGCAAGTCTATTACTAGATGTATGTCCCCCACGAGAACTGAGAAGAGCCCGATAGAGTTACGGCGACCTAGAGCACTCCAGTGGTACATGTTAAAGTCAGAGGAGACCATTTTCGGAAACAGACTAGACAACGCAGGCCAGGAGGAACACCTCAGACTTCGCCACCTACGCCACATTCGATGACTTGGTAGGGATGTGACAGTTATATCAAGGGCAGATTAGTTAATTCTCAGGTCCTCAAATTTTAGTGGGCATAAGATTACTGTATTATCTCTATAAGGACACATATATTCTACTTTATGGATGATTTTAAGCTATGATCCTCACCCAAGTATGTCTATTGATCTTAGAGAGGAAGGGAGCGAGGGGGAGAGAGGGGGGAGGAGAGAGAGAGAAACATTGATCAGTTGCCCCCCATGTGCCCCCGACCAGGCTCAAACCCACAACTTAGGTGTGTGCCCTGACCAGGATCTGACCAGCAACCTTTCAGTGCAGAGGGTAACGCTCTCAACAACTGAGCTGCCCAGCCTGGGCTTAAGCTATTTTCTAAAAGGCACATGCCCAAAAGGCTTATTTTAACATCAAATTTCTGAGTGAAATGTGACAGCAGTGGATTCCCAGCGAGCGCCATGGACATCAGCGCTCCCTGGGTAGGAGCAGCCTAGGAAGAGGATCCGGAGAGAGCCAGCAGTGCAGCGCACACGGGGGCGGAGGCGGCCCTGGGAAACGAGAATGGGAAGGCCAAGCACTGAAGGGTGAGTGGCAAGGCTCCGGAAGCCCCGAATGACGGGAGAGAAAGGCGGGTAGACCGACTGGGGGCAGACCGTGAAGGGTCTTGTTGCTGGGGCTTGAGCTCGCACACGCTGAAGAATCATGGAAGTTCTACACTGCAGAACATGGATGGATTTGCTTTGAGAGAGACTGTTCTGGTGGGTGTGGGAGAGCAGCGGGGGAGAGGCAAGGGCACACCTAGGAGACCTTTAGCTCCCCAGAAGAGACAGTAAAGGCCCCAGGCAGCAGCGCCCCCCCCAAGAGGCTGGGACGGACCCTCTTACTTGGGATGTTACTTAACCCCTTTGACCAAGTTCCCCCCGCATAAAAGGCAACTAACTATGGGAGCTGTTACCAGGATAACAGACATAAAAATATCTAGTAGAGTCAAGTACTCAGGAGGTGCTAAAATGTTAAGTTCATTTTCTTTAAAATCGATTATTACTGAATCTGCAATTGAGGGTGCGGCTTACAAATCACTGAATACAGGTTCGCTATATACTCATAAAGCAGTATTATTATTTCTGCCATTTTTTCGGATCATGTATAAAATGTATCTCACGTTGCCCATAACTATTTTCTGAGGTCTAGTGTTCCAAACTGGCACAGGGAGAAAGGAAAATGAATGATTTTATTAAACCTCCTCTTGACCTACTGCTATTTAATGTAAAATTCAAACATGGTTTATCTTTAACTGTCATAAACATCGTATCCCAGATTTTAAAAGAAGTGCCTTCACAGTAGTTCCCAGTTCCATTCCATGTCTCTGTGTGAAGAATCAGAACACGTCACCGATTATGTGCCTAACACTAAAGACCTACTATAAACCAGGGCAAAAGACTGGGCTGTATAAAGCACGAATCATGAAATTATTGGTAAGACTGGAGAAAAGAGGGATTTAAGGGATAATTATAAATGATGGAAATAACAAGAATTTTGGCTCATTTCAGGAACTAGCTAAATGATGATTCTGTTGTTTGGAAAACTGGTTACTGTTGTTCGTTTCTGTCCGTTAACCCTGTTTCACAAGCACTGATACACTTTAGAATATAAAATACTACCTGATTGTCCACAGTGGGTTTTTAAACGTGCAGTTAAAACTGGAGAACTGCATAGTTATGTCTGTGGCCAGTGTATTCTACTCTTTCTGGCTATCAGAAAGGGCAAGACCAAATATTTTTTTAAATGATAAAAATTAAATTAAAACATATAAAGGTACAGTTTTATCTTTTCTTTCCCTAGATCTTGATCTTATAATTTGCTTTTTTTATCATATACATTTGCATAATGCTTCATTCAACTCCTTTGCGAATGAGACCGGATGTGAACAAACAAAGCTAAAACAGCAGAAATACTGGTGTAACTCTGTAACAGACCTCAGTGATGATGCAGTCTCTCTGTGTCTTTTCAGGGAGCGTTTTAAATTTAAATTCCTCATGAACCAGCTTTAATCAACAATTACAGCTTATAAAATTCTTTAGAGCTTTTATTTTTAAAAATTATTCCTAAGATAAAGATGTATATTTAGGGTTATGATGACTCCAGAAGATGGAGCATATTTATAAGTTAATTTGTTTCCAGCAAAAAGGTCGAATGAGGGCGTAATTACCAATTCCTGAAAATTTAGCTCAAATATAGCAGGGACGGTAACACTGCAACATAATTACCATCACGGATCATGTGAACCCTCCGTCACGCCTGAATTGCTGAAAACACATCCCCAAGAGGCTCCCTGGCTCTACACTCCCCGTCCCCTGAGTAAACCCACACCCCACTGTCCAGACTAACCTTCCACAGTGGCTCTGAACCTTTGTTAGGACAAGGGTGCCTTCTGCTGAGACAGAAACCCAATGGCTTCCCCCCATGCCCAAGACACACTGTGAGATGTAATTTGACACACAATTTCAGGGAGTTCAGAAGAAACCCAGGTTGAGGTCTCTCTGAAAATCTCAGTCTCACCAAACCCCCTCTTAATGCTACATCTCTAACTGTTCCAATCCCTTCTGTGTGGAATCTACATTCTGGCCCTTCAGGCCCTTCACGACCCGGACCTATGACACTGCCCAGGTACTCCCCTTCCTATTTAAAACTCAGGACTCCAGCAAAGCACTGCATGAGAACCACAGGGCACGGAGATGTGCAAGCTAGTACCCACCCTCTTTCCCTGAGCTCCCTGAGCAACGGAACTGGGTTTTGCTCAGGCTTTATCTCAGGGACTTGAACAATTTCTGGCACTAGTTCTGACAATAAATATTTGGTGAATAAATAATTACCTAACTTAATTATATTTATTGATTATAAATTATATCAGAGTGCAAAATCTCAATTTGTCTTTTTGCCACAGGAATACAACAAACAGCTACCCTATATTAAATGGATATATTTTTTTAAAAGTTAATTAGTGAGTTGCTAAAAGACAATGTTTATTTTAATTTCAAGCCCTTTTTTGGGGGGGATCTGAATGGCATTAATGGAGTGGAAGAACCAGAGGTTGTCCATAGGTCAGCCTAGCCTGCAGGTCCCACCCGCAGACCTAATACCTCATCTTCTCCTTAGAGGTGAGACGGGGCAAGAGGACTGAGTCACAGTCGGTACTTTTATGTCCCAGTCAGTGCTCAGCCTTTCGTGACATGGTCATTGACTGACTGCTCTTGCGAGAGCAGATAATCTATGAGGCAGATAATCAACGGGCAGCATTACATCTAAGCGAGTGAATTTGAGGAGGAAAAGAGAGTAGCAATCAGGAAAACAGTTACCAAAATGAGGACAAAAGAATCCACTGGGTAGCTCAACAAAATGCAACAAGGTTAAGGATATCTAATTTATGAGACAATACTATGGAAATCAACTTCACTTTAATTATTTGAGCTATTTCAGCTCATTTACAAAAAGTGCTCGAAGTTGCAGCTATGGGTCACAATGGAGAAAAACGCTGATTACTATTTCAAAGAGAGGTTTTTTTTTCTTCACAAGAACATGAAAAGGTAGACCTACCTGACCCCTCATCACAGACATCTGACTTTCAAAAGTGGCTTTGTTAAATCTTTTGTCAATCTATCACAAAAAGGAAAAGAAAAACATCATTATAGTTCCAGAAATCAGGATCTTTGAAACAAATATTTGAAAATAAATGAACTCTTTCAACTTAGCACATAAGGTCATTGGAAAGCTTTCCTAATTGATAAAATAACATATGAAAGGCTATTTTTTACCTGAAGTATTTTTGTACATCCCTAGAGTAAGAATAGTTTATACTCCAATCTGTTCTGGAAAGGATTTAAAATGACACTTCAGCCAATGAATTGAGGATTTTTGAGAGAATTGCAGCTGGTCACCAAACACTTGTTATACTTTTTAGAGTCATTTTGTAAACATTCAACTCTGAAGAAAACCATTTGTCGAGTTTTCAGTCTCACTACCAATGATGCTCACAGTGAGAACAACTTACAAATGCACGCTCCCAATTCCCTTCTGTTCCGTCAAGTTCTATTGCAAGAAGTGACACCAGCAGTAAAGTGCAAATTAGCTTTAAGGAGAAAAACCTCTTGTATTTTAAGATTTCATTTTCTGTAATAATTAAAACGGAAAATGTATTTACCTTAAAAAGTTCATAAAGGTCTTCACATAAGTCTTGCACAAAGTTCATGTCAGAAATATATGGTAGAATCAAGTTTCTTGTTTCTTCAGAAAAGGGAACTTTTGCTTGAGGAAGCCAAGCCCAGTGAAACGGATCTAACAGAAAAAAGCATTCTGATCAGTGGGGGAAAGGGCTCGTTTTGACCCACATTCATCCTTGCTCTTTTCCCACAATTCCCAGGTTCTCAGAAAAAGGAGAAAGTTATGAGACATCAATTATCCCGTGTTACCTAAATTATTCAGACCCCATGTTTGTATGTTAATTCAGATGGCAAAACACAAAAAGTTATTACCTGAAGTAGCTAGGTTTCTGAGTTTTAGAGAATAGAGTTTTGTCCTGGCTGGTGTAGCTCAGAGGACTGAGCATGGGCTTGCAAACCAAAGGGTTGCAGGCCAGGACCCCAATTGGGGATATGTGAGGGGCAACCACACACTGATGTTTCTCCCCCTCTTTCTCCTTCCCTTCCCCTCTCTCTAAATAAATAAATAAAATCTTAGAAAAAAAGAATAAAGAGTTTTGATACTGTGTATATTTTAAACAGCCCTATATAAAAATGTGTATCTGAACCTCTGGTTCATATGTTTGGAAATTTAAGAGATAGCTGCAATTTGTTCACAGCCCCTGAAAAGACACCTTGGCTGCGGTCTCTGTGTGTGCACTTCTAGCCACACATCATCAGGAACTGGGTCAACACGCGCCCTGACCCCCACATTCTAAAATTCTAAATCATTAGTAGGTAAACAGGGAGTGGCTTTAGGGGTAAAAGACCCATCATTCCAGGCTAACTGTAGTCCTCCCGCGTGGACCATTATCTACACAGCTCCAGGACTAGAAAGATTTACAAACTAGTGGAATCTTCCAGAGAGAGTGCATATTCAGCTTCCTGCACAAAAAGTATACAGCTTATGACAACGTGATCACCCACAGAACTACTGTGGGTACACTGAATGAGACCTCTAGCTTTGTTGGCTGCCACCATCTGGGAAGCCCTGTGGAAGAAATCTGCCTTCAGACTCCACTCCAAAGGTTTTCCCACAGGCCCACATCTCCCTGACCTTATATCCAATTTCCTTTTCACCTTTTCCTGACCAATTATATAAAGGAAAAGTGTTTATTCTAACGCCTGCCTCTACTTCCAATTCCTAATCCTCAACTTTGCCACCCCTCTCCCCCGAGACCACCAGCCATCGCATCGGAGCCTCTCCGAAGGCCCGTGGGCAGCCCTCACCCACGCGAGGCCTCTCCTGCCGTCTCCCTCCGTGAAATGCTCTCCCACGCGGCGCTGCAGATGCTGCTCTCAAAGTTTACCTTCCGTCTTTTAAGCCACTTCTCTGGTGTGCTGGCTTTTCTTCTCTTCTGCGATGTTACCACTCCCCTAGCTTCTCTTGATAGTTTTCTCTCATTTGTCTACCAAACAGCACTTACGTACACTGAGCTATCCCCTAGTGATGGTATTTGTTCACCATCATTTCCCTGGGTGAGAGTGAACACCATGGCTTCCACTACCAAGGTGGCACTTTGAAAACTACCATATTTTGCTGTGTATAACGTGCATGTTTTTGCCCAAATTTTTGAGGGAAAAATAAGGATGCCTGTTATACATGGGTAGTACTAATTCCATATCTATATAAATGTTTTTAATTTTTATTTATGCTTATGTATTAAAAGTATAACTCTAGAGAACAATAACGATATCTGTATGCAAAATTATGCCCTGGAATACAATAATCCATTTTTTCTGAATATTAATAAGTAAAAAATTGAATTGAACAATTAAAATGAAAGATTTTTTTCTGAAAGTTTGGGCCAAAGACATGAATGCACACTATACATGGCAAAATATGGTATATCCTCAATACCATTTCCTCTTTTAAGGCCTTCAATCGCCACCTGTGTGTTTGGTAAAATTTCCCAGATGTATATAGGCACCTTAAACTTAGTACCTTTAAAGTCCAATTTATACAAAGACTCCACATCATCAAAGGAAAAAGAAATGGAAGAAAAACATCTCAAGTCACTTCAATAAAGAGAGAAAAGGAAAACAAGAAATAATTGGAACTTATGGTAAATAGAAATAAATACATTGGCAGTGAAAGTTCACATATGTCGGTTGCTTATTGAGACAAACCAGAGTTAAGTGTCCCCATTAAAAGGACCTCAGGCTAGGTTAAAAAACCCAGCTAAGTAATGTTTATAAGTTGTATACGTAAAACAAAATGATGGGGGTTAAAAATAGAAGTATAAAATAATACCAGGTAAATGCTAATAAAAAGAAATGAGGTATACCAAGTTATACCCGACAAAAAAAGGACCAAGAGAAAAACACTGATAGTGATAAAGTGGGATATGTTTCACAGTGATGAAAGAACACACCACCAGCAAGATAAAATGCTGGGCCTTTAGGAATGTGAAATACAAAGCAGAAAATGTATAAAAATGCAGAAATTGACAAAATCGCAATCACAGTGAACTTTAACTTTCTCTCAAAAATTAATAGATTTTTGTGGCCAAAAAATAAATCAAGAATATGATTTGACTAACAACTAACAAGCTTCAATTAGCAGACAGATACAGAACTTTGTGCCCAAACATTCTTTTTAAATACAGTCCTTCAAACCGGCCATACATCCTATTATAGCCACATTCACAGATCACAAAGCAATAAAACCGGGAAATAACAATGGACAGCTAAAAAAATCAGCTGATCTAGAAATTTTATAATCAAACAAAACACTTCTAAATTACTTCTGTCAAAAACAAATCTGAAAGTACGAATCTATAAAGCAGAATAACAGAGACGCATGGCCAATCTATGGCTTAGCCAAAATGACACCTAGAGTAAAACATATAGGAATAGAGGATGAATATGGAACAAAATAATGATGGAAAATGTAAATAATGAAAAATAAAAGCAACTAAATAAACTGAAAATCTGATCAATAAAAGGTCAATTAGCTAAAACACACACACACACAAAAGATATGAAGAGGCCAATGTTTTATAATAAATCTTTGGCAACTCCAATGAAGGAAAAGAAGCTACTAATGAAGAGTGACTTCATTAGCCACTACTTATTTAAAAGAAGTATAGTATTGATACAGTACTGATACTGATATTTAAATACTGACATTTAACAAGTATTGATCAGTTGGCTGGGCATTGTTCTGCAAAGCAAAAGGTCGCCAGTTTGATTCCCAGTCAGGGCACATGCCTGGGCTGTAGATTCAGTCCCAGGCTGGGGCATGTACAAGAGGCAACTGACTGATGTTCCCACAGAAGTTTCTCTCCCTCTCTTTCTTGTTCCCTTTCCCTCTCTCTAAAAATAAATAAATAAAATCTTTTAAAAAAAGAAAAAGAAGAAAATGTCTTCAACTGGCGTAAGAAGACACAGAAACCAAAGCAGCAGAGATGGGCAAGGCAGTTAAAACAACACTCACTAAAAAGGGGGTGCGGTGCGGGCTTATGACAAAGAGTTTTATCAGTGAACCTTACCCAAAATATTAAAATACAGCTCTACCAAAATATCAAAACGATAATTTCCATGTTATAATGTTTTATGCATTTATTTAAAATTGGAAAGCTATCAAACTTACACGGCTAACACAAGCCAAAACCAGCCCGTTATCCAACGCGAACACCACACGGCCAGGCCCACGCAGGCAGGTCCCTGAGCCCAGTGCCTGCAACAGCGTCCCAGCGGACACTCCACCCAGGTTTTTTTCTGCTGGTTTAACGACCATGAATTTTCTTCCCTTCTTTTGCTGGAAAGGGGTAAGGCTAGAACCTCTAGAATGTTTTAAGTACTCACACGCTCTCCACTCATCAGGATGTTTAAAAGGAAACGCCAGACCATTGTCAATTGCAGCTATCTGAATAAGCGATTCTTTATCATCGGTCCAATCTGCTTCCTAAAAAGGAGAAAATAGTCTGTTGATAAAAAAAATGTGTACAAATATTTTTAACAGATAAAGTATTCACAGTAGTTATTGGGGTTTAAGGACATTTTATTCTGAAGAGCCTATAAAAATAAAAAATAAGTCCCCAGAAAGTACAAATTCACTGTTGAAGGGCAGAGACTTTCTTAAAAATAAGAATTTCATAATCACTATTTTTTTAGAAATTTGTTATTATAAATTTACATAGGATGGTTTCTTCCCCCCGCCCTTAATAGAAGAACATTTGGAATTATTAAGACTTAAAGTGTTATTTTTGCTAGATACACTTCTTAAATGTATGACAGTTGCAAAATATGGACATTTTCAACAACTTAAAAAGTTACCTAATTAAAATCTAGTCTTTCCTAGGGTCCCATAGAAATAATTAGTTTCAAATACAAAATGTTTATAAATAAAACTCCCCAAAGGCCACAGCTAAGTCTAACGAGGTGCAGAAGGAACCTCAAGAAACCCGATTGCAGAATCTAGGCCACTCCTAACTTTTACATTCTTCTGTGGCAGAAACAAAGACACCAGGGGCAAGAAAATTTTCCTATCAAGGAGTACCTCTCATTATTTAAAGACAGACAGTTGCCATTATTAAGTGGTATAGATAAAATAATAAAAGGTAAAGTGGATAATTTTTAAATTAAAAGTAGACGACTGGGTAAAAAAGCTGTGGCATATTGACACAATGGGATACTACTTGGCTCCAAAAGAAGAATAAAATCTTATCACGTGTGACGGTGCGGATGGACCTGGAAAGTATTATGCTAAGTGAAGTAAGCAAGTCATAAAAAGACAAATACCATATGATTTCACTTACATGTGGACTCTACTGAACAAAATAACTAACAAGCAAAGTAGAGGGGAGAGATGTGGAGAGGCTGGTAAAAAAGGTGACCGGATTAAGCAAAAAACAAACCAACAGCACCCCACATACACAGACAGCAGCACGGTGATTACCAGAAGGAAAAAGGGAACCAGAGGTGCAGGGGGGTAGAAAAGGGCAAAGGGGAATGTGTGGTGGTGGGGGAGGCTTGACTTTGGGTGATGAAAACACCATGTAACATACAGATTATCTGTTAAAGAATTGTACACCCCAAACCCACATAATTTTATTAACCAATATAAATTAATAAAAAATTTTCAAAAAATTCAAGTATTAAAGTACAGGTCTATGTGATATAAACTCTAAGAAATAAACCTGGCATATATCAAATATCCCAGTAAAAATTCACAAAATACTTAAGAGTAAAATAAGGAAGTTTTCAGTAAACTCTAATTGCTCAAAATATACCAATATAATATATTTAGCAACTCGTATAAATCTATAAATATATATGTCTGTACTTTAAACCCATTTCTGCTATAAATGGCACTTTTCTTTCTATCACTTTTTTCTATCTACAACTTTACTGAGGTATAATGCACACACAATAAACCTCACATATTAAAGTGTACAATCTGATAAGCACTGGTAGATGAGAAATCTTCACCCAAAAGTTCCTTGTGTCCCTTTGCAGTCCCTCCCTCCCTCTACCCACCCCCCATCCCAGGCCACCAGTCTGCTTTCTGTCACAGGGGTAATTTTGCACTTTGTAGATTTCTATACAACTGAGACCAGATAGTACATTCTCTTTGTGTGCAACTTCTCACTGCTGCTTTCATTCAATGGGATTCTGAGGTTCATTCACATTACTGCCTATATTGAGCCCATTCTTTTTTTTATTGCTAAATACTATGAATATGAAATTTTAAATTTCTCTGATAAACACTGAAAAGTACAAACTTTCTAAAGTGATGCCATAGCTTTAAGTGATAAGAACACATAGACTGTAAGTAGATTTTCTATTGTAAGTAGAAACACTGGAGAGAGTATTTTTTAACTAATTAAAACTTTCTCCAATGTATAGACTGTTTTGAACTAGTAAAACTATTCTAAAGTATCTCATGTCAATATTTAAAATTTGAACTTGGTAGCCAAAACTGACAAAAATTGATCTAAAATCTATCATTTGGATGGTGTTTAATATATATAATGGCCTGCCTAAACCTATAATGTGATGGTGTTATAGGTCTAGGCAGGCCATTATATACATTAAAGCCAGCTTCTTATGAGTAGAAGTACATTTTTTTTAAGTTTAATATATATGAATCACAGGTAAAGGACACACATTCTATAATACTGTATGACCGAATACTGAGCCATAAGACTCAGAAAGAAGTGAATTAGCAATATATAAACATGACCAAAAATATTGGAAGCCTTTACTGCATAAAAGCAAAATAAATCTGGTGGTTTTACAAAACTTTCCTAAGCTCTGTACAAAGTACCAAGCTGGTAATATTCTTCTACTCTAATACAACATAAAAAATAAAGCACTGTGTGGAGATTTAAACAAAATAGAAATAAAAAATGTAACGTTAAACAAAGGAAGAAAAGAAAAAAGATGAGAAACACAAAAAAAGAAGATAAAAACCAAGGTTTTGAGGGAAGGAAATAAGAAAATAATGAAGAATAACTTCGAGGAATCTTTTACAGAAATTGTGTGTGTGTGTGTGTGTGTGTGTGTACATGTGTGTATATACACATTCTTTTAAAATTTCCTTACCTTAGTTTTTGTTCCATGTTTCTGCTTTTCATATCTGATTAACCAATTATCATTTCCCCTGTCTTTCAAAACAGGAAAAAAACAAAACCCAAATCTGTTACTTCATTGTTTTTATGGATAGTATAGCCTAAATCAAAGGAGAAATCTAGTCACCTCTTGACTGTCAAGACTTTCATTGGTTATCTGTGACATATACTTACATACTAAAGGCTCCATTTAACACATATAAACTAAAAAATACTTCTAAATATTAGCTAACATTTTTGAGCCCTGGCTGGTGTGGCTCAGTGGATTGATCACTGGCCTAAGAATTGAAAGGTCACTAATTCGATTCCTATTAGGACACATGCGTGGGTTGCAGCCAGGTCTCCGGCTGGGGGCAAGCAAGAGGCAACTGGTGGATGTTTCTCTCCCTCTCTTTCTCCCTCCCTTTCTCTCTCTCTAAAAATAAATAAATAAAATCTTTAAAAAATGTTAGGTAACATTTTTGAGCATTTACTCTGTGCCAGACATTATTGTAAGTGCTTAGCATGTATTAATTTATTTAATCCTCAAACCACTCTGTGAGGGAGGTACAATTATTGTCAAGAAGTATTAAATCAAGGCTATTAAAATCAAGGATAACTTCTCTTCCCCTTAGAAAAAGCATCTAATGCTATCAGCAGGCAGGTTTACCTGGATGGGTTCTCACCTCATGTCTGCATGGGAGCACTGTAGGCTTTACACTAATTTTTAACACTAACCCAAGACTATATTAATTAAGATAGTAAATCTAGAAAAGCATATAATGCTCGTTGAGAAATCGAAATAAACGAGCAGTTTGAACCCGTGTTTCTCAAGCCTCAGCGCGCAGCAGAAACACCAGAGTTTGTTAAAACACACACTGCCGGCTCCCACGTGCGTTTCTGCATCACAGGTCGGGGGCGGGCTCCTAGAAGATGCAGGTGCAACAAGCCCCCATGTAACCCTGACCTGCACAGGCTGGGGCAACACCTGGGAGCCACTGTGTTATACTACCTACATCACTGCTCCCTTCCAGCCCTGCCAAAATTAAGAGTTTAATGTATTAAAATAATGCATTAAATTACCTACAGTCAAAATACTCATCTAAAATAATTTATGCAATCAAGTTTTAATTATTCACATTATGCAGGTAACATTTCTATAACTGGCTTTGTCCTGCTGCCGAGAAACACTGAACCAGGGACAGGGACGGATCTCCGCCTCCAGGCAGGAGCGGGCTAGGAGGCAGGTCTCCAGAACAGAATCAGTGCCGCCGGGAGAGGCCGTGACGCATCTGTTTTCCAAGGCAGGTCGCCAAAAAGTGGCCTCAGGACTTCGGCATGAAAACTCTATGTCTTTGATTTCGATAATGAGGTGAAAACAGTTGAGAACTAACAAGGTTTTGAGAGAACAAATGAGGAACTTCAATACCTGTGTTTCTGATGATGTAATCCAAAATCACTAATCTTTCAAACTGTGACTGAAACTGTTTTCTAATATTCTCAGGCAAAGGGTCGGCTTCAAATTTCCTAAGCCAAAATTCCGCCTCCTTATAACCTTTAACAAACAACTGAAAGGAACCAATCTGTAATTTTAAGAACTATAGTTAGAAGAGACAGTACAAGAACGAAGGGATTATTTTTTTAATTTCTCAGCAGTATTGTCATAAAATATATAAACACAGTAAGAAAAACAGAAGAGTTTTAACATTAATTTAGATAAGCCACATTTATCAAGAACACTATTTTTATACACCAATTTGAAATAATTACATAAAGAGAATACATAGCAAATAAAAAATGTTCAACCCTAGACTTTCAAGGAGTGTAGCAGTTATTTTAGGACAAAAGGCATTTCTATCACTAAAAGTTACTGGTTGTTAACATTAAAAAAGTTACTAAAGTAAATACAAATTTAAACGGCACATGGCACACAGGTAATAAGTAACCTGGTTGGTCTGGTAAATACAAAGAAATCACCACAAAGAAAATCTATTTCTTATCATTTCTTAACGATTTATGTTCTCATTGTTGGCATGACATTTCAATGATTTTCTCCAAAGCATTCATAATTAAGTCATAGTAGTCATAAATAGGGAAATAATATCTGTTTTTAGTCACACTTATTTCAGCATATCCAAGAATTCTTGCAACAGGCCTTGTAAAATTTTACCAACTTCTTGCTTACTTTGAGTATGATTTTAGAAACAAGTTAGGCTGTCCATGAATTTCTACTCAAATTCTTTTATCTAGATAAATACATAGCTACCACACAACAACAAAGCTGCAGGTCAAATGTATTTTTTTGAAGAAAGCCTGGAGCTTTTTGTCAAATACCTTTTCCATCAATCCTCCCCACCCTTGCTTAGCTAGCAGCTAATCATCCCTCAGGTTTATTTTAAAGCGGTAAGGAAAACAAATTTAACATGTAGTGAGTAAACAGTTACTACCACTTCCTTTACTATGTGCTAGGACTGTACCAAGTACCTGACATAAATGTCTTCATTTTATCCTTACAACCTTAAGAGGCAGTTTTGATCATTCCCCTGTTTTACAGCAATGAGGCTTACAGAGTAAGGAACTAGCCTAAGGTCTTAGAGCTGACTGGTAGAGGGGCTGGGAGTGAAACCTGGGTCTGATTCTGGACCTGTGCCTTCAGCCATTGTTTTATAAAGCTTTAGATGCTTTATAATTAAGTCATAGCTTCCCTGGCTGGTGTAGCTCAGTGGATTGAGCGTGGGCCTGCGAACCACACAATTGCTGTGTGGTTCGAAAAAATTGCGGCTTGATTCCCAGTCAGGGCACGTGCCTGGGTTGCAGGCCAGTTCCCAGTAGGGGACTCACAAGAAGCAACCATAGATTGTTATTTCTCTCCTCTCATTCTCTTCCTCTCTAAAAATAAATAAATAAAATTTAACAAAAAAAATTAAGTCATAGCTTTAGATGCTTTATAAAGTATCTCCTCTGGCAAACACGACCCAGCCCTCCAAAGTGGGGTGGATGTCCGTACCTCCCCTCTCCGAGTTCCCCGTACTTCACCATCCTAACAATGTTATCATATTGCATTGAGATTGTTTCTTTACATTAAGCTCTGTGAAGATGAAAAGTTGTTTTCTTTACTATGACATCCACAGACCACAGCACAATGCCTAGCGCATGGAACTTGGGTAACAGGTGCTGAACTATCCCCTTCAAATGAAGCTTATCACAGAAACTTACCTTAGGAGGGAGTCCTATCCGATGAAATTTTCTACCTACTTTGGGCACCTTCTCTAAGGCATACTTTTTGCCTCTAGCTTTTGCACGGTCAATTGTACTGTAGTTAAACGTCTCACTGACAAGCCAAACCACCTAAAAACATACAGTTTAAAAATATGGTTATTAGAATTTGCATGATAGTATTTATATTCATATACATCATGGAACTCACTCAAATACTGTAAATTAGCAAAGTTTAATTCTATAGAAAATGCCTCAGAATCTGAAATAGAAAGGCTAAGGGATTCTGCAGGCAGTTAGATGACACATATTTCTGAGAGGCAGCCTCAAAATAGCCACTGGAAGAAAGCATAGTCTTGACATGTACAATTAGGAAGGAATATTTGAGGAAGTCTTCAAGTAAAAACATATAAAGGACAAAAAGAAAAAAAACCAGTCTTTTAGCACATTAGTTATCTCTACCTTCAACAGAATCTTAGATCCATGATCTTTATCTGCTTTCTAAAAACTAGTTATTTTTCCTCTTTTTGTCAGCATCATCTCAGCTCATGTGTGCAAAAGACATTCCCCTGGGGACTCTCTGGATCTACACGAGAATCCATCTGTTAGTCACTCACAACTGGATTACCAAAACAGGGAGCTCAAATTTAGGCTCTGTCATTTGAAGTGTGTTTACAGAAAGTAGGCTATAAAGCAGAAGTCTGCGCTTAAAAACAAATTCTCCTTTACCCTTGTTTTTGGTACAACGCTCAGATGAAGCTTTTCGTCTACAAGGGAGGCAGCAACTTCGGAGAGATACCCCTGGTTGGGCACCAAGCAGCCTCTGCCGAAGCAGCAAGGACAGCAGACCTTATGAACATATTTGGTCCACTTTGGATTCAGTTGACCATAAGGCTCTTCTGATTTGGGCTTAAACACACCAATGATTTTCTATATGGGAAAAAAGGAGAAATCTTATTAGACTTTTAATATAGAGAGATAATAATCCATGAAGTTCACTCTGGTAGATCTTTTATACATTTCCCCACCACAGACTTGGACATGACTCTTCAATATTGAGGGATTTAGTTCCATTCACATTTTCACTTTCATTCTCATTCAACAGTCTATGCTCAACAATCGTCTGGGCTAGTGGTTTTCAAACTGTGCTCGGGGAACCCCGAGGGGGGGGGGCAGGGCTCTCAGGCCTTGTGCCCAGAGCGACTCTGACGCCACCTGTTTTATATTCACTGGATTCCAGGTTATTAAAGGATGCCACTGACTTTACAGTGTGTGAAAACCACTGCTCTAGGTCAAACAGCAATTACTCAGTATCTGTTAAATATCCAAATTACATGTTTATTTGCTTATTGTCTACCTTCCCCACTTGACAACATACATTCTAAAAGGTCAGGGACTTTCTTAGGACTGTATCCCGAGTACTCAGAACAGTGCTTGAAACTCGGCAGGCATTCAAGTATGTGTTAAATTAATAAATCCAATGGCGAAAAGTGTTCTCTAAACAAAGACAATGGCAAAGATAAAATACAAAGGTAATGCCAGGATACAGTGAACATCTATGTTACCAGGTTCTCCTACTCTAATCTCTTTTCCAATAATTTTTTAAGAATCCATTTTAAATAAATTTTCTCTGAAAAAATTTTGTTCATGGATGTCTAAAAGGAACTGCTGGCTATGCATCATTCAGAAAGCTTTTACAAATGATAACATTGATATCTGAAAAATTCTATACTAAGTGGAACAGAGTCCTGTATCAGCTTTTCTTTTCCGCCCTAAATTATGGTTTGGTTCATTTCACTTTGTCACATTCCAATGCCTTCAAAATTCAAACTTCCCAGGCTCCTACTCTGGTATAATACAGGGAAATAATATTGCTAGGGTAAAATATAACTTTGGAAAAAGTCAAGCAATTTGGAAACAACATTAAACAGGTTTTGAAAGTTTAAACTTCTATTTTGCTTGGCTACTATGGTTATAGACTACTATAAGGTAAGGCCTTATGATAAACTCAAAAAATCTACAGCTGAAAGTGAGTATTCAATAAATGCATAAAACCAAACAGTAAAACAATAGAATGGGAAACTATGACTTCAAATGAATAGGTTAATTTCTAAATAGTGCTGCTTTAGTTAAAAAACAAACAACATGCACACCAAAAAAACTGACCTTTCTTTCTGAAAAGAGGGTGTAACTATCTCAGAAACTCACAAAGACTTCACATTTAAGTTAGTGTTTTCCAAAATGTCTTCCAGATAGGGGATCTGTGAAAATCTCACCCTCTTAGGATCCTTCACAAAGTAACTTCCACTTGAACCTTGAGAGATTCTTTCTGGAAAAACTCCAAATTCGATTGCTTGCTCTGCTTTCAGTACAACTTCAGCAAACACTGGATCATCCAAGAATGCATTCAATTCTGAAGAACCAACAATTATTGCATTAAAAAAAATCAATGTTAGGATAGCACATGAAGAAGAAAAAAGACCAGCTGTGAGAACGTTCATGAAATGAAACTGTCATGTTGGATCAGGTTAATAGCATTAGGGCATGAAAGTATAAACATGTAATCAAGTAGTATATGGGCTGCTTTAATCCTCCTTTTCGCACTACCCCCACTTCTCTCTTTAAGTCTCAAGTGACGACATGTGGAACACAAGACCCCAATCTGTTGATATAAACACACCACTCTTTCATATTACTTGGAACTCCTCGCTCCCAGTGATTTTGTTTGCCATTCTACCGAAGTCTCCAACAGCACAGTCATACCTCAGATATGTCATTACCAATACCTGCAATCTCTCCATACTCTGAATTTCAAGCACCTTATAGCTAATTCACTCACTCTGGCATCCTGGGCCTCTAATTCTTCCGTCCCACTAGGAACTACAAGGCCCTGATGTATCAGGTTGTCGCTGATCTTTATTTCTCCCTTGTGCCTTTCTCACCTTCCTGGGTCACCTTAACTTACGGTCAATTATCATATGATCACTCTCTTCCTCTCCCCTCATCATGGTCGCCTGGAAAAATCCAAAGCCTGGTTAAACCCAGCTATCAGCTGACTATGTCTGGCCAACCAGACTTGTCAGGAGCACACACGCTCACAATGCCTGGTCTCACTTTAAATCCATCACCACAAACCTCCAGTGGGCTTCATGCTGCCCAGGCAGCACGCTACATTCTGGTAATACACTGAATGTTTGTCTCTCCTCCAAATACACTGAAGCCCGAATCCCTAGTATTACTGTGTCAGAAGATGGGTCTTTCGGAGTGATCGGGTTTAGAGGAGCTCATGAGGACAGGGCCTCCATCGGGAGACTTGGGTCCAGAGTGGGCTCTGCCCATGTGAGGGCACCCAAGGTGGCAAGCCAGGGAGAGAGCCCTCAGAACTTGGCTATGCCGGCTCCCTGAACTTGCACTTCCAGACCCCAGAACTGAGAAACAAATGACTGTTGGTTAAGTCACCCAGTTCATGGTATTTTGTTTTAGCAGCCCAAACTAAGACAACTTCAGTCTACAGACTCTCCCACTCTTCTGAACAACCACCTCATAATCTCTCCTCTCCCCAAATTCCCAACATCTCCTCTCTCAGCAGATGATCTGGTTTCCTATTTCACTAAGAGAAGCAATAAGAAAAAAAATGTCATTAGCTCTCAGCCCAGCATCTACCCAGTCCCATCCTGTACCCAAAACACTGCTGCTTAGGATGTTCCAAAAGCTCACTTATGGAGGATTGTCAAGACACACAGGAAGGACATCAACTCTTCTAATACCTTCTTCTAAATTAAGCCAGATTACCAGTGTTTTGAATCTAGATCCAGCAACACCAATAGCGACACCCATCAGAAGTTACTTCTATTGAAATGGGCTGCAGAGAAGTTGTAAGAAATACCACAACATTAATCACTTTTATTACAAAGATATTATTTAACATATAGTCTCTTCTCCGAGAGAACACATGAGAGGTTATAATTTCTCCATTGTTTTGCTTCAAATCAGTTTGCTTTAAGTTCATGGACACTGAGAGTGTTTCAAGTCGGCTGCTCAGTCACCTTAAAATCAAATCTGTGGGCTGCCTGCATCAAGTGTCTCGTGTGCATTTTGTCCTCTTATTCCAGCCTCTGTCTATGTGTTTTATCATCCTTATTTCCCATTCTCATCTTTCCTCATTTTTAAATTCTATTTTACTCCTATATTTATACGCCACCACAAGTCATTAAGTGGCTTATAAACACACACTTCCTTTTACTTTAGTAGCTCTTTGGGAATTCTCTAATTGTTAGGCTCGCTAACAAAATTGGTAGGTGCTCCTGGTTTGTATTAACAGGACCTTGGAGAAGTCACTTCACCTCCCTGTGCTTTCTTAAAATGAGAAAAAAAAAAGTGCTCATGCATAGGGCTGGTTATGAATAATATACATGAAGTGCACAGAACTGTATCCTACATGTACTGTTATGTAGGCATTAATCGTTAGCATCTTTTATCACTCTCCTACTCACTGATTAAAATGACAGAACACAGAATGTCACTAATCCCTCCTCTTTGACATCAATCCACCAATGCTATGGTTTAAGCCGGTTCTCGACTTTGTCAAGTGCCTTGTCAAAGATGAGAGACGTACTACATTCTCCCACTGGCTCAAGTACATAAATGACACAAACAGAATAGTCATAAATTATGTTACTATCAATCCAAAGCAAGAAATTCTTGGAACTAGAGATGTGGCTTCATGGAATTGGATGGTAAAAGAAGTTAATGCACTCTGAAAAACAACTAAACTTTAAAATGTCGTTAAATTACTCAATCATCAACTTTTTAGGAGACTGGTTTAAAATGTATAAGATAACTTTTACAATTCAAAACCATTTTTAAATGCCTTAAAATAAGATCTCCATAATAAATAACCAAAGTAACAAATGTTTTGTAACACTCAGGGACCTATAGCGAATGGAGAAAGTGCGTGACATGAAGAATCAGGCTGAGCCCTGGCTTTACCACTTCCTGGATAGCTAACTTCAATGACCTCTGAGGTTCTGTAACTGAACACTGGTCATCACAGTTTCTTATCCACTTTCATTTCTCACTACAGGGATGCGGGTGAGCAACTTACTTGCTATGTTGTTGTGAGAATAAAATATACAAAAAGAAAGATCCTAAATCATAGACTGTGATAGAAGTTCATTATGATTTAAAAAGGCAGGAATTCTTTTTAATAATCCATTTGTATTCTGAGTACCAAATCGCCATTTAAAATTTTTCTGACGTTAATATTATTTTTTTATAAAACCTCACTCACTGTCACAGAATAAACGCACTTTTAAGGTTTCAGGCTCTTTTAAAATTTAGCTACCCAGGTAAATCTGGGGTAGAAAAAGGCAAGCTAGCCACACGGATTGCAGTTACTTCACAGACTGGATTCTAGGTAATATACATCCAAATTATCAATGTAGCCCGTGAATGTGTGATCCACCTGTGATGTGGTTCCAGCCACGTCTGTTTGTTCTGTTAAATGTTGTAATGCCAATGCATCCATTAGCTAACACAATGGTAGCCAACCTGCATGTCTGAATGGTTTTCTAAACCTGCATTCTTCATGAAACACTTGAATTTGAGAATCTGCTTCCCTTAGGCCTCTCTGATTTGTTTACTCCAGAATATGTTTGACTCTTAAATTCAACTAAAATTTGAATAGCCTAGTCTGGGCAAAATTCTTTAAAATGTACAAGGCCCATTAGTGCACTGGTAAACACAAGTAATAATCTGACAATTCCAGAAAAATTAAGCATCATTAATGAAAATTACATTTTCTATGGCTTTTAAAAAACTGAGTTGAGAGAGAGAGGGGGACAGGAAGGAAAGGATGGGGGACAGGGATGGAGGCAGAGGGGAGGGAGGGAGGAAGAAACAGACGGACAGGAGAGCATTGCCAGTCTCCCACCCGATTATGCTTTCGTTGGCTTCTTATAGTATCCTGACCACAATCTCTGCTTTCCAGGGGTCGCTCTAACTGTCCCTGCCTGGAGGTACCTGGCCAGGGCTCTGTGGCTTTGGAAAAGTTCTCGCTATAATCCAGGCATTAGTACATACACCATCTCGTTTAAACCATGCTAACCACTAACAAGTAGGTGCCATCAAAATTTTACAAACTAGCTCGCTTCACCTTCAAGTAAAACTCTTAAAAGTCTATTTTACCATCAAATTGGCCTAACTCCACTTGCCATGCAAAAAACAAAAACAAAAAAAACCCCGCTTAAATAATAAATATCCATGTCCGCGGTAGCATGCCTAAATTTTACTAAGTTTCAATATCATTTCAATCACCCCCTCTTTCACCTGAGGCTATCAGTCCGCTTAACAATATATTCTTTTTTCTTTTTAAGATATAATAACAGAAGTGACTTAAGGGTGAAAAAAACTTTGCAGGAGACAGCAGGTACAGAAATGCAACAGCCTCTGCCCCCTCTGGCCAACGTCACAATAACAACATTTAATAGCAAAAGTTTTTGAAACGTGTCCCAGTAGCTACTGGCTATTCTTGCTGTACGTCTTACAAATGCACAATTCTGGGAACCTTCTGCATACTTCAGGGTTCTTAGCCCAAAACTTAAGTCCAAACTTAAGCAAACAGCTTACGTCACTTTACAGTGTTAAGTTTCCTCCAGTCTGATTCTAAAAGTTTAGGCTCCCTGTTAGGGGAGGCCTCGGGGATCAGAGTTGCAGGACAACCGCGGGCCTTAGGTGAAGTAGTTTACAGCCCCTGGGGAAGGTGCAGGAGACGCGGGGGCGGGAGAGACAGGCACTGAAAGTGTCCAAGGTTCGCCCGGCTGCTGGCCCCTGGCCTGTGCCCTGGTCGGGATGCCTGGCCAACTAATTGCCTTTCTTATTAGACAAGTGCTAGTGTGAGGCAGAGAATGGAGCCGGGGACAAGGCAGGGAGCCGGGGCCCGGGGAGGGGCGGGGACGGGGGGCGCCCTGGGACGGCCTCGGGGAGAAGGGCAGAGCCGGGTCGCACCTGAGCCCGCGGAGCGGCTCCAGTCCTGGTCGGTGGGTGAGCTTCCAGGGAGCCCCACATCGCGGGAGGGGCAGTGGGGCGAGTCTGCGGGTCGGAGCAGCAGTTCCTTGTTGCCCGCCTCGCCCAGGGACGCGGCGCCCGTCTCCCCGGCAGGCTCCCCTAGCCTTACGGCGGTCCCCGGGGCTCCCTTCCGCGGCCTGGCCCAGGCGATCCGCGGCAGCAGCGGCTCCCGCTCCTCGTCCTCTTCTTCGTCCAGGCTCTCGCCGCCCGCGGCCGCCCGCCGCCCAGGCTCGGAGGAGTCCGCCATGGGCTCCCTCTGTGCCTTCCGCGCTGAGACCGGCTCAGAGAGGCAAGCTGTCCGGGTCCGGTCTCGGCATCGCGGGGAACCCGGAGTCGCCGCGTCTTAGGGAGGCCACCTCACTAAGTGCCGCCGCGCTCGGTTCCCGCCCAGCGGTTGCCCCGCCCGGCGGGCCAGCCGCCACGCCCCATCGCGCACCGCCCCTCGCCTGTGCGTCAGGGTCGGAGCGTCGGTCGACGGGACGCGGCGCGAAGCCGCCACCTGCCCGTGGTCACCGTGGACGTTGCGTGCGCTGCGGACGTGCTGCTGTTTGTGGACCTTTGACTTGGGGTCCGAGTTAGTCTGTTTACGCAGTGCCTCTCTCCAACTGATACCGGCTTCTCCGTCCACTGAAGACTTCTCTCGTAGTTTGCCACCGTCTGTACCTGTGTATTTCCTTGCGTAACTAACATTTTTTCCTAACACTGGAAGTCCCTGAGAGCAGGGACCTTGTCCCTGCTCAGACGTTCCTGATATCGTAGTTTGTATATTCTTTTGTCCTCTGAGTAATCTGGCTAGAAGATTATTGACTTTTTAAATTATTTCAGAAACCTATCTCTTGTTCCGTTGTATTTCTGTTTTCTAGTATCGTGATTTTTGCTCTTTATTAATTTCTTTCATCCCATTAATTTGGGTTTGATTTCCTCTTGTTTTTTTTAGCTTCTTAGATTACATTATAATTCTTCACCTTTCTATTTTTAATTTTAAATATAAGCTATTTTTTATATAAAGCTATGCATTTTTCTTTAAGCACTGCTTTATCTGCATTACACATTTTATGCGTTTAGGTTCAATTAATTCTAAACAGTGTTTTATTTTCCTTATGATTTTTTTGACTCACTTTTTTGAAGTGTGTTGTTTAATTTCCAAATATTGAGGGATTTAATTTAATTTAATTCTGTTGTGCTAGAGAAGATACTTTAAGAATTTAACCTTTGAAATTTAATTGAGACTTAACAACCCAAAATATTATTTACTTTAGTGAACATTTAAAGCATGCGTGCTTTAAAAAGAATGTGTATTCTGCAGACCGAGTGGTACTGTAACTGTCAATTGTTTCTATAAATATCAATTCAGTTAAGTATTGATAATGTTCACATCACCTATTTGGATTTTTAAATTTAGTTGTTCTGTGTCTGGGTACTATAATCTGACAGGGTACTATAATCTAACTATGATTGTGTCTTTATTTCTTTTCTTTTAGTTTGGTGAGGTTTTGCTTTATGTATTCTGAAGTTATTAGGTGCATGCATACACAGGATTTTTATGTCTTACTGATGATTTGATCTTTTCTTCTCTTTTTAATAAACTAGCCCTCCTTATCTCTCTTAGTACTCCAGGCTTGAAATCTATATTGCTACATTATCTGATATTAATATAACAACTCCATCTTTCTTAGGCTTACTTCTTGCATGGTAAATCTTTTCCAACCTTTTCCTTTCAATGTATTTGTGACTTTATATTTAGTATGAATGGTAGATAGCTTATAATTGGTTTTGGTTTTTAAAAAAAATCCAGCCTGATAATTTCTGCCTTTTAATTGCAGTTTTTAGTCTGTTTACATTTAATGTAATATTCATGTGGTTGGATTTAGATCTACTATTGCTTTACAATTTATATTCTATTTGTTTTACCCTTTTTTTTTATCTTTAGAGGGGAAGGGAAGGAGAGAGGGAGAGACCCATCAATGTATGGTTGCCTTTCGTGCTTCCCCTGCTGGGAACTGGCCGGCAGGGAACTGGTCTGCAACCCAGGCACGTGCCCTGACTGGGAATGGAACCTTGATTGTCTGGTTCGCAGGCCCACGCTCAATCTGTTTTACTCTTTTTTGTTCCTCTGTTTCTTTTCTGCTTTTCAGTTAATCAATATCTCTTCATATTTCATCTTAATTCTTCTATTGATCTTTTGCTAAAAGTCTTTACATTAATTTTTAGTCCCTACTCTGTTGCTTACTGTAGATATCCTTAGTTATTTCAATGCACTTAGACCTCAAATTGTGCCACCTAACTAACATAAAATGTAAGAATCGTGCAGCAATGTAGTTCCATTTATCCCTCTTTTATAGGAAACTGATCCAAGGGGCAATGGCAAATGTAGCTCAGCACTATTGAAAAACCGACAGGTGCAAGTTGGCACACAGGAAGCCAAATCCTCAGATCAGCTTTCCTGTGGGAAAGCAGGCTTGCATTATACCTGGGCTGCTTTGAGGCTTGCTCTTGCTAAAACTCCCTCACCCTGGGTTGAAGCAGAAAATGCTTACTGCATATCTTTAAAGTAGCTTCCTGAAGTTTGTGCCAATTCTCCCAAGGAGGGACTGTAACCAGACCAATCACTCTTATCATTCCCTTGCATTGGCAACATTTTTTCCTTGTTAATCTGTAAGAAGTAATCAGTAATATCCTATCCTTTGTTATCTGTAAAAAAATAATCACCTAAAGCAAACCTGAGCATAATGAGAACCTTCTTTGATATATGCTATTAGAAAGCAATAAAAGGTTGTTCAGGCAAGGGTCATGGCTCCCCCCTCCCCCTCTCTCAGAGAGTGGCCGAGCCATCCATTTTCTCCACAGGACTACTGCAGTCCCTGGGAATTTGTTCATTGCCTCCACAGCACTGTGGACACCACTGGCCGCAGTCCACATCACTCATTCTATATATTACTGTTGTAATATATGTTAGATCCACATATGTTTAAATACAGTGAATAATTTTTGCCTTAAACAATCACACTTCTTCCAAAGAAATTAAGACAACAATGTATAATCTTTCGTATTTACCATTTCCAGTGCTCTTCAATCCTTTCTGTAGATCTTAGTTTCCATCTACTATCATTGCCCTTCTTTCTGAAGAACCTTTTAAAGCATTTCTTGTAATGCAGATGGCTGGTAGTAAATTCCAAGTTTTCATTTATCTGAAATTATTTTTATTTCACCATTATTTTCAAAGGATATTTTCTCTGGAGATCGAATTCTGGATTAATGGTAACCTCCTTCCTGGCTCCAACTGTATAATTCTGTTGTCCTCTAGCCTTCAATGTGTCTGAATCATCTCCATTCACCCACCCACCCAATTTGTACTAAGTTCATTTTCTCTAGCTGTCTTTATGATTTTCTCTTTATTTTTGGTTTTCAATAGTTTGACCTGATGCTCTTTGTATGAATTTCTGTATTTATATTCAGCTTGAGTTTTGCTGGGCTTGTTGAATCTGAAAATTTATGTAGTCCAACAAATTTGGGTGAATTTCAGCCATTATTTTTTCAAATATTTTTTTCTGTCTGGCATTCCTGTTACATGTATGTTAGACTCTTTGATATTATCCTGCAGATTAGTAGGAATCTGTTCATTTTTTCCAATAGTTTGTATCTCTTTGTCAGATTGGATAATTTCTTTTCATTTGTTTTTTGCCCATTTTCAGCCATTTCCAATTAGCTGTTAAACCCACCCAGTGGAATTTTTAATTTCAAATTGTGTAGTTTTCAGTTCTAGAATTTCCATTTGGTTCTTTTTTAAGAGTGTCTACATCTCTGCTATTTTCCATGTGTTAATTCATTGTGACCACTTATTTTTAAAGTCTTTTTAAAAAGTTATTACATATAATAACTGTTTAAATGTCTTTGCTAATTTTTACATGGGCGTCATCTTGAAATCAGTTTCTATTGACTACTTTTTCTCTGTACAATGAATCAAACTTTTCTGTTTCTTTACATACCTGTTAATGTCTAACCCTTTACTGAATATCATAGATAATATTTAGAGCCTTAGATTCTGTTATCTTCCTCTGATGAATGTTGATTCGTTTTAGTGGATAATTAAGTCAGTTGAAGTAAAATTCTACCTGAAATTTCTGATCATTTCTTTTAGCTGTTGTTTTTTTTTTTCCTGAGCTCTTTGGAATATCCACCATGCACCAAGAATTCAGGAGTCAACCAAGGATTGGGGTAGAATGTATGTATAGGTTTTGGAACTGTCTCTTTCTATTACTCCCTCCTTTTCAGGATTTCCCACCTCAATTTCTAGCTGTTCTGGAATCCCCAGACTTCATCCTTTAATTCCTTAAGCCATTAAGACTGTGGCTTTTTGATTGAATTTCAGCTGCCTTTCACCATGCAAACTGAGTAGTGCTCTCAGATGAAAAGATGTATGAGCATAGATCACACTCATTATATTTCAATTCTTTGAAGAGTGGCCATCCCATCAATTATTGCCAGCTGGCTTTTGATTACTTTCCAGTGTCATCAGATATAATCATGCATCATTTACCGATGGGTTATGTTCTGAAAAATGTGTCATTAGGCAATTTCATTTTTGTGCGAACATCATAGAGTGCACTTACACAAACCCAGGTGGTATAGCCTAAGCTATATGGTATATCCCATTGCTTCTAGGGTATATGCCTATACAGCATGTTACCGTACTGACTGCTGTAGGCCATTGTAATGCATTGCACTATGATGTTCTAACACCAGTGACATGGTAGGTGATGGGAATGTTTCAGCTCCATTATAATCTTATGGAACCGCTGTCATGTAAATATGTAATCCATCTTTGATGGAAACATTGTTACAGGGTATGTGACTGTAATGGTTCCTTTATTTTGTCCAAAGTTTATTATTTTATCCATAAAAAGGTTAGCCCGATATGCCTTCTGTGGCATTTTATTAGAAGTGTATCTTCTGGTGAGATGAATGGTGCAGTATTTTTTGTCAGTAGTTCACATGTTAGCAGAGGAATATTAGTTACTGCTAGGTAAGACAGGATCCATCACTAGTTCTATTTATAGTTTAAATGTTTATAGACAAACACTGAGAAAATCTGCCCAACTATATAGGTAAATATGAAAATTGTGTAATAACAATGTCACTAAAATCTTTAATCTCCTAAGAATACACTAAAAATCACAGAGCACTCTACCACTAAAAATCATTTTTTATTTTATCACCAGGCATCTCATTTAGGTCTTCCCTTGCTCGAGTTACTCACTTTCTCAATTTCTGGAAAGTAAACTGAAAAGGCTTTTAAAAGACGTCAGGGTATTAATGTGACTCATTCAATTCAAGGCACCTTATTTTTTAACTCAGAATTGAGAAAGAAAAGATATTAACA